AGTGAGCTGAGGGTCAGGAAATTGAAGCAGGGTGAGCCATACAGGTGAGCCAGAGAGAGGAGCTTTGGTGGCTCAACGTGGAAGAGCAGACAGGTGACCTCAGAGGAGGCGGATGTGACAAGCCTGGCACTTAGGGCTTAGGGCAAGGAAGAAAATCCTTGCTAGTCCCCAAGGGACTCCCTTCCACATGCACCCATTCATGCTGGCATAAAGAGTTTTAGATTTGGGTTCAAACACTGCAGATGGAATGTCACTGTTGCCATTGGCAGTACAACATCAGGTGTACCTGTCAGTCTTTCCATTACTTCAACTCCAATACCCGAGAGGAGCGTTAGGGGAAGATTGGGTTTATTTCAGCTTCCCATTTGGGGGTCACAGTCCAAGACTGGGCAGCTCCGTTAGTCTGGCATCAGGCAGGAGCTGGTCAGGGGGCAGAGCACGGGAATGAACAATCACAATTCGGTCCAAGAAGCAGCGACACAGGAAGTGCACTGCACTCGCACAACCAACTCTCTCCAGTATCACCTCCTGAACACAGCCCTGGGAACTAAGACCTCCGCCAGGTCCAGTTACCGGCAGCCATAACTAGATTGAGTCCTCAACCACCTTTAATCCACCAGCTGCTAACGTAAGACTTCGGGACTTATACATCTGCGTGAGTGCGGGAGTCAAGTCCTGTTCATTATCTTTCTCTCTGTCTCTTCTTAAGATTTTGTTTTGGGCCCAGCGCAATAGCATAGTGGTTAAAGTCCTCGCCTTGCACGCCTGGGATCCCATATGGGTGCCGGTTCTAATCCCGGAGGCCCCGCTTCCCATCCAGCTCCCTGCTTGTGGCCTAAGAAAGCAGTCGAGGACGGCCCAAGACTTTGGGACCCTGCACCCAGGTGGGAGACCTGGAAGAGGATATGGGCTCTGGCTACGGATCAGCTCAGCTCCAGCCGTTGCGCTCACTTGGGGAGTGAATGATCGGATGGATGATCTTCCTCCCTGTCTCTCCTCTTCTCTGTATTTTTTTTTTTAAATTTGAAAGGCATAGTTACTGAGAGGCTCAGGAAAAGACAGAGAGATTTTCCATCTACTGGTTCAATCCCCAAATGGACTGGGCCTGCGCCAGATTCAGGAGCCAGGAGCTACTTCCAGATCTCTCGCATGGGTACAGGGGCCCACATTTCTGCTGGTCTCCCCAGGTGCATTAGCAGGGAGCTAAATTGGAAGTAGAGAAGTTGGGACTTGAGCCAGTCCTCAATAGGATGCTAACATCGTAGGCAGCAGCGTAACCCGCTATGTCACAACACCAGCACCCAAGTGTTGTTCAATTCACACCGTTAGTTAAGCTAGTAAGCCTTTCCAAACATGGATTAAGAAATTAAGATATGCACACTGGTGATGACTCTGCTGCCAGTGAAATGCTAGGGAAACCAGTTATGCAGTGATTTTAAGTGTGTTTGAGAAGATGTGCTGTGAGCAGTATGAGGGTGAATGAGGGACCCTGTCCTGAAAGGAGATACTCTCCTTCCGGTCTGGGCCTGCTGTCTTGATGCCGTCACGTGGGCTGGGAAGTCCTTAGCCTCTAGTAAAGCACAGGAGAGAATGTGCAGCATGAATCGATTCCTCTAAAAAACTGTTTATTTTTGTTTGAAAGGGAGATTTACAGACAGAAGGAGAGATAGAAAAAAAAATATTTCATCTGCTGGTTCACTCCCATATGGCTGTAATGGCAGGAACTGAACTGATCCAAAGCCAGGAGCAAGGAGCTTCTTCTGGCTTTCCCATGCAAATGCAGGGCTCTAAGGTTTTGGACCATTCTCTACTGCTTTCCCAGGCCACAAGCAGGGAGCTGGATGGGAAGTGGAGCAGCACCCATATGGGATCCTGGTGCTTGGAGGTGGAGGACTAGCCTGTTGAGTCACAGAACTAGCCCAGCATGTAGATAGACTCCACAAAAGCTTTTTAAGTATCTATATATAAAAAAAAGAAAACAAAAAAAAAACAAACATCATGATTTACCATGAGCCAAGCTCAGCAGGTACCATCGTATTACCATGTGACCTGCTTTGACCCGGTTTTGCAGAATAAAAACAAGAATGAATACTGTTTGTGTGAGGTGTTTGTTGCCTAGCACACCGGTAATCGTACTGCCATCTGCCTGTAACCTGACAGCAGCCTGCACTTCTGCTCCTCCGAGAGTGGCCCATGCAGAGCAGCCTCACCTGAGAACCTGCCGCAGCTGCAGCCTCAGGCCACACCCACACCCACACCTGCTCAATCCCACTGAACTAGTTTTGCAGGCAGTTTGTAGACACATTAAAGCGCGAGAAGCACTGTTCCGTGTAAAGCCCAAAGGAGGTAAGAAGCCAGATGCTGTAGAACACATCTGACAATCAATGGATCAATTAACAATATTTCCTAACCACTGTCTCCGTTTTCTGATTGGATTAGGGGAGGCCATTCAGTACCAGATGGTATCTACACAGTCAAGTATGAACTGCTTCTGTCCAAAGTCAATCTTTTTAGAAAATCTGGCTTGGGGGCTGCCATGGTGGTTCAACAGGCTAATCCTCAACCTTCAACACTGACATCCATATGGAAGCTGATTCACATCCCGGCAGCCTCGCTTCCCATCCAGCTCCCTGCTTGTGGCCTGGGAAAGCAGGGCAGGACGGTCCAAGTCCTTGGGTCCCTGGACCCATGTGAGGGACCTGGAAAAGTTTCCTGCCTCTGCGTTCAGACTGGCTTATCATTTTAATTTCCTGCTGCTCAAGTCACTTTGTGTGCGGGGATTTTATTACGGCAGCTCTACCAAACTCATACAGGAAGTCCGGGTTTTTGAGCAAGGAGAAAGCATTTTTAGATTAGAAATAAGTCAAATACCCAGCAGAGGGAGACAAAGGGCAAAAATGCTCTAAGGGAAAATGGTCCAAGGAGAAACCACTCACACACACACACACACACACACACACACACGAATGTCCTGCGTGTATGGACAGACCAGATGCACGTAGGGTGGAAAGAGATTAAAGCAGAAAAAGCCTAAGGACCCTGAATCCGTGTGGGAGACCTGGAAGAAGTTCCTGCATCTTGGCTTTGGATCGGCGCAACTCCGGCCATTGTGGCCGCTTGGGGAGTGAACCATCAGACGGAAGATCTTCCTCCCTGTCTCTCCTCCTCTCTATCTTGTCAATACAAATAAAATAAATCTTAAAAAAAAAAAAAAAGAAAACACTGGCAGCTTCCACCTCATTTCTCTGAAAACACACTCCTACTTAGGCACCCCTGCTCAAACACCTGCCACCACACAGCGAGATGTGAATCCACACGGGGAGTTCACCTGTCAGTTCCACTTGACCTCTCAGCTGAAAGCCAGTATGTGAAGAACCTGCCAGAACGAGTGAGCCGTTTCGGACCTCCCAGGGTGGTTTGGTTGGTACCGTTAAGCAGACACTGATTCTAAGGGTTTCTGTTGATTCCTCACTATCTCTTAATAAAAACAGAGCAAGTCTCAACTCACAATTTCTGCCCAGGATGCAGGCAGGCTTGGGAAGTGGAGCATATAATTTGTGAATTCATTCAGCTCATCCACAAACTTTTCCAAAGCTGCAAATGCCAGGCAGTGGAATAAATGCTCTCCTCCTTCTCAGAGAACTTAGCTTGACCTACAGTCTCTTAAATAGCTCATGTCAATAAGAATTCATGAGTCATGAAGCTCCTGGCTCCTGGCTTCAGATTGGCTCAGCTTTGGTTCTTGCAGCCGTCTGGGAAGTGAATCAGCGGGATGGAAGATTTCTCTCTCTCTCTTTTTTTCTGTAAGCCTGCCTTTTGAACAATAATAAAAAAAATTAATACTGACTGCAACTATGTGTCAAGATAAATGTGACACAAAGTGGAGAAGGGCAGGGAAGAAGCACCCTGGTACTTGGGAAAGGAGGTACCAATCGTAGTGCTGGTTCCATGCTTCACTTACTGGTGCTCATGACCAATTCTGAAGCTCTGAGCATCCCGGGCCGCAAGTCCAGGGTGGGGGTGCAGATGACACTGTCCCTTCTTCACATACTTGACAGTGTCTAAGTATTCTTAAACTCATCCTTTGGCTCAGATAACTCCCACACAACTCAAAACACTCAAAGCTCATAATTTCTCCCTCCCTAATTGCTCCTCTTCTCCCATGTTCTATGAAGTTTTATCTCTATATCCAGAGTTGCCCAACCTGGAAACTGGGATTCCCCCTTGATATCTCTCTCTCTCTGGTCTGCCTCCTATACCTCGGCTGCCCAACAAGCCCGTGTTTGGGCCCCCTCAGCCTCTCCCATCTTCCCACTGCCGTAACCCTTCACCTCCTCCAGCAGTATCCCATTCCATTTTTAATGCCTTTCTTTTCTTCACTTCCTTCTCCACCGGGCACCCAGGTCTCATCATGTCTGGAATCTCTCCCCTCCACTCCAATTTGCTAATTCTTCCACTTCTGTTAGATTTACCTCACACCACCCCGCTTATTTTTTTTACAGACATCTTAGATAGAGATGTAACCCACTTACATCAGTCTCCCCTGACCTAGCGGCGCTCTGTGCTCACCCCCTCACGGGTTACAGCGGAACAAGGCATTTTAGCAGGCTCGGCGTTTGTTAGCTTGGAAGAAGTGTGAAGTGACAACTCCTGCCCAGTAAGTGCACACAACACCCTTGAACTCTGTCCTGGGTACGTCAAAGGATGTCTCCGCAAGCCTGTATTCTCCCGTTTCTGGCCCTCTGTTTCCGGATTTGTACTAAGAGCCACTGAGCGAGAGGGAGTTACATTTCAAAGCTCAGGTTGGTATGAGAAATAATGGGCGCCTACGTAGGGCAGTGCGCGTGCGCAGGCAGCCAGCGTCGCCTGGCCTTCCCGGCTGCCCCCGGGGAGGCGGGACCAGGCCGCTTCCCGCGGTTCGGCCCCGCCATTGGCGGGCGGTTTGAATGACGGAAGTGACGAGGCCCTGGCGATGGCTGCCCCGCAGGCGCACAAACGGCTGGTGGGAAGCTGAGCCGTGGGGGTCGCGAGAGTCGGCGTGGTTGCTGGAGCGGTGGGCTGTGCGCGGCCTGCGCTCAGGTGAGTGGCGGGGCGCGGGCTTCCTGCCACCCGGGGCAGGGCGTGGGCCCCGCGGGGAGCCGGGCCCGAGGGCGCCTCGTGGAGAGCGCCGGGTTCCCGCGGCCGCCGTCCGGGTTGCGGTGGGCTGCCGGCCGCAAGGGGCTCCTGTGACCGGAGCGAGGCGACCGCCCCGCCAGCTCCGAGCGACTGGCGGAGGCTGCCTGTCCACTCCCCGGCCTCCCCGGCCTCCCCGGCCCTCCCGGCCCTGAGCTCCCTAACGGGCGGGGTGGCCATGGAAGAGAATTGCCTGGTATCGTTTCATGCAAACAACCGCCCGTCTTTTGCTGTCCGTCGCCTTGCATCCCTCAGGTATTGAATTCTTCACAAGCTAGGCTTTAAAAACGTTTGCATCTTTCATATTTAGAGAATATGTTAGTTTTAAATTACATAAGCCTTAGGACACCTGTTAGGACATTCTCGGATTCTTCAAAGTGTTAATTTTGAAATTAGCTTCTCCAGATACCGTTAAATCAGCAAGGGTAAAAATCTTATAATTACTATTATCTGCATTATTGGGTAGTAAAAACGTACAGTTTATAAGGCTGCTCTATATTGGGATGAAAAAAAGTAAGACATAAGATTTCCCTAGGGAGGATTTCATGTGACAGGTGGAGAGGGAATAGTAGAAATAGGAAAGAACATTTGATAAACAGCACTGTGGTGGATTCAGCTGTCAAAAAGACATTGCTCTATGCCATCTCTGTCAGATATGTATAGAGTGAGAAAGCTGGCTGGGTACCATCTTAACAGGGTGGCCCCACGATCCATCCCCAGCAGTAAGACATAACCCACTGAGCAGGTGCCTTGTCACTTCTCACGCGTGCTTGCCTGAATGTGCAGCCTCAGTCTAATCACAGGGGGCCATTAGACAAGACCAAACTGAGGGATGTGGAACAGGGCAGCTGGCCTTTGGCAGGTGTCTGGATCTTGGAAGAAATTCTCACTGGGCAGCCCTCCTGGTTTGGAGGAGATGCAAATGAAGCCAGAGAAAGTAACTGAGGCTTCACGTCCTGAAGGCCTGCGTGGGGCATTGGCTCTCCGCCAACACCTTGTTGCTGGGGTACAGAGGCGAGCCTGGGCTTGAGCAGCACTAACAAAGGGGCTTGTTAACCGTCCTGAGATGCCCTGGCTGAGAGACATCCACTCCATCTTCCCTCTTTCCTTCTCAGTGTCGTGTGCATTGAGGTGGCAGCCTCCAGCCCTTACCAGCTCCTTGCATGTACTTCTTGGAGGCTCAAGTTGCAGTGTATTCTCCTTGGTTTGGGTCCTGGTCCACAAAATAAGCATTAATGGCATAAGTGCTGTGGAGTTTGTATAGATGTTTTGTGCCAGTGCTCCCATCACACTGTGGTTACCTGGGATGTTAAATTTGGAGAAGATGAAATAAGGATGTGTAAGAATTTTAAGTCTGATTTTTTTTTTTAAGATTCGTTTTATTTTTATTGGAAAGGCAGATATACAGAGGGGAGGAGAGACAGAAAGGAAGACTTTCCATCCGATGATTTCACTCCCCAAATGAGCGCAGTGGCTGGAGCTGAGCCAATCTGGAGCCAGGAGACAGGAGCTCTTCCTGGTCTCCCACGCAGGTGCAGGGTCCCAAGGCTTTGGGCCGTCCTCAACTGCTTTCCCAGGCCACAAGCAGGGAGCTGGATGGGATGCAGGGCCGCCAGGATTAGAACTGGCGCCCATGTGGGATCCCAGTGCATGCAAGGCAAGGACTTTAACCACTACGCAGGCAGGCCAGACCCTGAAATAGTTTCTAAATAAATTTAGCATGAAAAAAATATGACAAAAGGAGACAGTTGTTCTCTCATACCTTAGAAACTAAAAGTAAGGTATTTATATGCCTCTAGCAAATGAGGTAATGGGTGTTTAAAAAATATGATGTTATGGATCCACTGGCATGGCCTAGCAGCTAAAGTCCTCCCTTGAACGAGCCGGGATCCCATATGGGCGCCGGTTCCAATCCCAGCAGCTCCACTTCCCATCTAGCTCCTGCTTGTGGCCTGGGAAAGCAGTCGAGGACGGCCCAAAGCCTTGGGACCCTGCACCCATGTGGGATACCTGAAAGAAGTTCCTGGATCCTGGCTTCAGATCAGCATAGCATTGGCCGTTGCGCTCACTAGGGGAGTGAATCATCAGATGGAAGATCTTCCTCTCTTTTTCTCCTCCTCTCTGTATATCTGACTTTCCAATAAATAAATCTTAAAAATATATATATATATATGAAAAATATATATATATGATGTTAGGTTTCTCCCGGCCCCCACTTTTTTTAAGAAAAAGTTTTTATTGGAAAGTCAGATTTAAAGAAGGAGAGGCAGTAAAATCTTCTGTCCACTGGTTTATAGGAAGTGGAGCAGCCAGGACACAAACCAGCATGAAACGGCACCCATACAGGATCCCAGCACATGCAAGGCGAGGACTTTAGCCACTAGGCTACCACTCTGGGCCCGATTTTTTTCCCTTTTTATATCAGGGTTAATTTAGAGTAAAACATATACATCTAAATGCATTTGAGAAGTTTTCACTTATGTATGCAGCTTTGTAATAACATAATATGGACAAAATAGAGGATGTTTTCTGTCCCAGTGGGCTCTCTGTGTCCCGTTCCTTATCAGCAATCTCCAGAAAGGTAATTTCTTCTTACAGTCTCTCCTGCTTTTAAGTTTCATATAATGAGAATTTTGTTATGTTTCCTTTTGTTCTTTTCTTTCATTCGATGAAATACTTATAAGATAGTGTAGTTTGAATATGAATGCATTAAAAAGACCTTTTGACAAATTAATTAACGTTGCAAATACTAAATAATCATATTTTTCTTTGTCTAGTTATTCACAAAAACACAACAGTTTATCTTTTTAACCTTGTTTTTAAAATTTATTTATTGTTTGAAAGGCAGATTTATAGAGAGGAGAAAAAGAGAGAATGCTCTCCTGTCTGCTGATTCACTCCCCACACAGTACAGCAGTCAGAGCTTAGCCCAACAGAAAGCAGGAACCACAAGCTTTTTCTGGATCTCCCCCCTGGGTGCAGGGGCCCAAGCATTGGGCCTTCCTCAGCTGCTTTCCTAGGTCATTAGCAGGAGCTGGATGGGAAAATGGAGTAGCCGGGACACGAACTGGTGCCCATATGGGACGCCAGCACTTGAAGGTAGAGGATCAGCCAACTGAGCCGTTGTGCCAGCCCCTAAATACAAATTTCCTAAGTCTGCTACATGTTTTAGCATCTCATAAAGTTGGGACACATTTTGAATAAAAAATTCTGATTCTTCCCTTGCCTTTGCCTCTAGATACTATCATTTTAGGGGAAGTCCTTTAACCCTTTTCTACTTTTTATTTCCTTTTTTTCCCACCCATTTGAAAAATACTTGTTCTGAATGCTGTTTTTATGGACAATTTTGTGTTTTTGTTTTTTAATCAGATTATTTACATTTGGGCCACACAGAAATGAAAAGAAAAGTAGCAAATGCTGGCAAGCTGAGATTGAGTCCTAATGAGGAAGCGTTCATTCTGAAAGAAGATTATGAAAGAAGACGAAAGCTGAGATTGCTACAGGTGTGATTTATTAGGATTAATGTTTTAAAATTCTTGGTGTTCTCCAAATTATTGCTCCTTTTTACATTAAAATGTTGTGTTTAATAACCTCTGGGTATATAAGAGCCTTGCTTCTTGTGGATTGATTATTTTTGAAACACTTAGTAACTGGGCTGAGGTGGTAAGTAGCTTGGAGTTGAAGAATTAGTATTTGACTCAGATATTAGTAAATAGTGCTTTGTTTTATTTTGGTTTTTGTTTTTTCTTTCTAAATTTATTTATTTTTGTTGGAAAGGCAGATTTACAGAAATAGAGAAAAATCTTCCATCTGCTGATTCAGTCCCCAAGTGGATTCAGCAGCCAGAATGGAAGCCAGGAGCTTCCACGCAAGTGCGGGGTCACAAGAACTAGGGCCATCCTTGGCTGCTTTCCCAGGGCATAAGCAGGGAGCTGGGACTCTAACCAGTCTGTATGAGATTCCAGCGCTTACAGGTGGAGGATTAGCCTCTGCAGCAGCCCAAGGAGTAGTTCTTTAAATATCCTTTTTTTTTTTTTTTTAACAAGAATTATTTATTTTTATTACAAAGTCAGATATACAGAGAGGAGGAGAAACAAAGAGGAAGATCTTCCTCCGATGATTCACTCACCAAGTGAGCGCAACGGCCGGTGCTGTGCCAATCCGGAGCCAGGAGCCAGGAACCTCTTCCAGGTCTCCCACATGGATGCAGGGTCCCAAAGCTTTGGGCCGTCCTCGACTGCTCTCCCAGGCCACAAACAGGGAGCTGGATGGGAAGTGGAGCTGCCGGGATTGGAACAGGCGCCCGTATGGGATCCCGTCTCGTTCAAGGGAGGACTTTAGCTGCTAGGCCACGCCAGTGGGCCCTAAATATCCATTTTTAAGTGATACATAGATGATAAGAATTAGAACAGACATCTTATCTGATTTTGAGGAAGACTTATTGAAGACTTAATATTGGGAAGTTGTAGCTTATCCTTTTCTAGAGATCTAGAATAAGATTTAAGTCTGTAGTGTTGGTGATGGATATTTAAGGTTTACTTCGGTCTAAAAGTGAAATTTATGTATTAACACACCCCCCCCCCCCCCAACACACACACACACTACTAGAACTCACCTGGCTCAATTGTCCTCTGGCTGTGACTTTTGTGGAATCTTATTTGCCACTTTAACCTTTTATTTAGGTTATTAGAATGATAACGGCGATTCCATTGGGGCTTGGAGTGGAGACAGTAACAGCTCATCAGGAGACTAAAAGTAGCCTTTTAAAAATTATTTTTATTTACTAACAGTCTTTTATTATTATTATTATTATTATTATTATTATTATTATTTGATGTTGTTTACATAGTTCAGAAGAATGCATTCCTCTATGGACATGGACTACTGATTACAGTGGGGAGTGTCTAGGATTAGAGTGAGAGCCGTGTTTCTAAATTTCTTTTTCTTCCTGTATCGGGAAAGGAGGAAGAGAAGGGGAGAAGCTGCACCTAGCAACCTAACTGCATCAGTACCCGGGATGGGGGACAGCCACCCCATGTCATCCCAGGGACCCTGATCTTGATTTTTGTTTATTTTTATTAATTACATTGCAGTATGTGACACAGTTTTACAGGTACTGGGAGTCCCCCACCCTTGCTCAAACCCTCCCCATATGGTGGATTCCTCCACCTTGCTGCATTGCCACAGTTCAAGTTCAGTTGAAATTCTTTCATGGCAAGCATATACCAAGCATAGAGTCCAGCATCTTATTGTCCAGATAAGTTCAACGCTTCTTGGGGAGACCATCTCTGGTCTGAAGGTAGAGCTGGCAGAGTATCATCCCGCTGATCTTGATTATTATTTTTTCTATGGCAGGTGGATTTATTACTATATGTAAGTGCTTACCTAACATAAGATCAGTGTTCAAAAGGATTGGTAGATTTCAATTCAGAGTTAATGTTTTGTTTTAAATAGCTTCTCAAACAAGTTTAAACTTGAATTCATTTTATGTTTGCTCATTCTTAGGTTCGTGAACAAGAAAGAGATATCGCCTTACAGATACGAGAAGATATAAAACAGAGGAGAAATCGACAGTTTTCTCGTTTAGCAGAGGAACTAAGGGCAGAATGGGAGGAATCACAAACTCAGAAAATACGAAACTTGGAAAAACTATATTTAGCCAGTTTAAGAACTATGGGAGAGGGACATCGACAAGCCAAAGAAAATGTAAGTGAGAGCTTGTTTGGCTGTCTGTGGCAGTAATGCTAATTAAACATGGTTGTTGAATGCTTTTAGTTAAAAATGGTTTCTTATTCAGAACTTGTTGAGGGCAGTGTGAGCCTTTTCAAATGAATTTAATATAATTTGGGAATAATAACTTCATTTCACAGCAAAAATCATGTCAAGTGAAGTTCTCTCCCCATGATGTTTAACACTATTTTTTATGGTATTTATTTCTTTGTAAATAAAACCTTTTGACACAGAACTTCATCTCCAGAGATTTGAACAGATTTAACAAGGTGAATTCAGGTTTCCTATTCATTATGATTTGTCTTACTTTATACATGTATGGTTGCACATGAATTAGTTCAGAAGTAAAAATTATTGATGAAAAATCAAACTAGAACTTAGTATTTGTGGTGCTTTCTGGTTGTATTTTGTTGTGTTTATTGTAATTTATGGTTTGGAAATGCAAGTTAACAGTCCCAGTGACTCACATAATAAAGGCTGCTTGCCACGGCAGATAACTAGTGAGGAAAAGTGGTCTCTTGAACATGTGGAGCCGTCTGCTTAGCCTGTTCTCAGTAGTAACCTCGGGGTCTGCTTTCTGTGTGCCGTCATTACCCTTGGGCTTTAGCACCACGTTTCCCAAACCATGGACATTCGAATACCATCTTCCCCACTTTTGCCTTAGCGTTTTAATTTATTTGGACTCTTCTATTTAATTTATTTGAAAGGGAAAGGAGAGAGCCTGACACACAGAGGTCTCCATCTGCTATTCAACCCCAAATGCCTGCCAAAGTCTCGGTGTGGGTGAGGCCAAAGCCAGGGCCTCAGCACTCAGATGGGGTTTCCCATGTGGTGGCAGGACCAAATGCTTGAGCCGCCAGCTGCTGCCTCCCAGGGTGCACAGCAGCTGGAGTCAGGAAGCAAGCAGAACTTAAACATAGGTCCTCTGATGCAGCTGCACGTGTCCCAGATGGCCTAAACCACTGAGCAAGGTGCCTGTACCTACAGTGGATCCTCTTATTACTTAATTTAACCTTGTCCTACTTATTTTGGGTGTTCTTTTTAAGATTTATTTTATTTTTATTGGAAAGTCTGATATAAAGAGAGGAGGAAAGACAGAGAGAAAGGTCTTCCATCCGATGATTCACTTCCCAAGTGGCTACAATGGCCAGAGCTGAGCCAATCTGAAGCCACGAGCCCAGAACCTCCTCCAGGTCTCCCCCATGGGTGCAGGGCCCCAAGGCTTTGGGCCATCCTCGACTGCTTTCCCAGACCACAAGCAGGGAGCTGGATGGGAAGAGAAGCAGAGCTTCTGGTATTAGAACCGGTGCCCATATGGGATCCCGGTGCATATAAGGTGAGGACTTTAGCCACTAGGCCACCGTGCCAGGACTTAACTTTGAGTTAAGAAGCTTGTGTTTGTGCCCGTGGCCAGGCCCTGTGTGAATTTGAAACCATTGCCATGCTTTTAAAAATTAGTGCTGTAGTATGTAGAAAAGAGGATGAAGGAATGGAAAGGTCAGTTCTGTTCTGGTGTCAAGTAAGGTGCATCTCTGGGAATCTTCTATGACACGGCATTTTAAGAAATAAATGTGTTTTTAGGAACCTGACTTTGATGCTTTGGCACGCCGGGCTGCAGAAAGGAAACGAAAAGCACAAGTGAGGCATAAAGAGGCCCTAAAGCTACAGAAAAGTCAAAAGGAAATGGTAGCAAAGGAAAAAACCTGGTAAAGTGGTCATTTTTACTGCATTCTCAAGTAAAACTGATAGGACTGGAAGTGAAGGGCACATAGGATGTTTTATCAGCAGAAACTAAAAAATCCTATGGTGTATGTGTTGTGTTTAAACTTGGCCTAAAGTTGATACAGTGGTCAAGCAGTTTGCTGAAGTGGACATGATGACGAATGAACTTCCTCTGTGAGTTTGAATATTCTGATTGTGGAAGCAGCTGTTAAGTTTCTGGAAAAATGCATGTTTAGTTCAGCATGCATGTCAACCCAAATCTGGCTGTAAAAAGTAAACGTAATTAGGGGCTGGCACGGTGTCTTAACAGGCTAATCCTCCACCTGTAAGTGCCAGCATCTCATATGCGTGCTGATTTGTGTCCCGATTGCTCCACTCTTTTTTTTTTTTTTTTTAAGATTTATTTATTTTTATTGGAAAGGCAGATTTACAGAGAGAAAGAAAGAAAAATCTTCCATATGCTAGTTCACTTGCTAAGTGGCTGCAATGGCCATAGCTGAGCCGATGAGGAGCCAGGAGCCTCCTCCATTTCTCCCATGCTGGTATAGGGTCTAAAGTCTTTGGACCGTCCTTCACTTCTTTGCAAGACCGCAAGCAGGGAACTGGAAGGGAAATGGGAACAGCTGGGGCACAAACTGGTGCCCATATAGGATCCTGGCACTTGCAAGGTGAGGATTTAGCCACTGAACAATTGTGCCAGGCCACCAGCTGTTCCACTTCTGATCTAGCTCCCTGATTGTGGCCTGGGAAAGCAGCGGAGTCCTTAGATCCTTGTACCCATGCTGGAGACCTCAAAGAAGCTCCTGTCTTCCAGCTTTGGATCAGCTCAGCTCTGGCTGTTGCAGCCATTTGGGGAGTGAACCAGTAGATGGAAGGCCTCTGTTTCTCCTTTGTCTAAAATCTACCTTTTAAATAAAACTAAGTAAATCTTAAATAGAATTGTAGCATTAAAGAAGTTGTAAGCTCTGGAAGTCATTAGGAAATGTGTTTTTGCACGTTGTGAGGATTGAGAACTTTTTGCATTACGTAGAATGACCCATGTTAGCATTCTAGTTTTTTATTGTTATTCTAACCTGATCTTACCTGAGGAGCATTAGATGTTTGATGTGTTGAGCCCCAGTGTAGAGGTTTATGTCTTTAGTATGTTTCTCTAAAAACCTTTTTACCCTGGTTGGCTAGGTAAAGATTGTCAAAATATAATAATATATATATATATATATATATATGTTTCTCTAAAGAGCTAAACGTTTTCCCTCATGGCCACCGTATTTAGGCTGTTTATTAGACAGTCATTTTGTTTCCTGAGACCATGTGACTGTTACATTGTTTGGGTCAAGGTTGTAGTGTGGTGTTACTTGAGAGAGTAATTGATGACATGTCTTGTTTCCTAAGGCATATACAAACGCGAAAGGAAGCACTACTTGTGGAAAAAGAGAGATCCGCCAAAATTGCAAGTTTACCACCTCCTCCGCCAACTCTTTTTGAGGTAAATCTCAGTGATTTGTTTAAACCTTTAATTATTCAGCGTGCATGTATGCCAAGTATTTAAAAATGATCCTAGATACTGTCTCATTATTTAAGTACTGTAAAATACATATATACACACACATATATATATTTAAGTACTGTAAAATACATATATACACACACATATATATGTATTTTACAGTACTTAAATATATATATGTAAGCATATTTATATATGTATAAAGTCCTTATATATATGTATGCTTATATGTATATAAGGACATATATGTATATACATGTATATGTGTATATAAGCATATATATATATACACACACATATATATACATATATATATATATGCTTAAGGACTTGTTTTAGTATCATGCAACTATTTTCCCCAATATTCTCTGATAGTCTTCTTTAAGGATATAAAGTTCTTTTGTTGTTTAACATTTACAGTGGTTTAGGTTTTCAAAAAAATATTACTAGTTCTGCTTTTTAAAAACCTGTCCTTTTGGGACAGCCCTTTCCCTTCATGATTGAGATGTTGGTTAGGATGTCAAGCAACCTACATTGAAGTACCTAGATTCAACTACTAGCCCCAGGTCTTGTTTATTGATTTATTTGTTTATTTTAGCTAAAGGTCTGTTGTTTATTTATACTGATTTATCTGAAAGGCAGAGTAACAGAGAGAGAGACAAAAAGAAAGAGATCACCCGTGCAGTGTTTGGCTCCCTAAATGCCACCGTAGCTGGGGTTGCACAGGACCGCTGCCAGGAGCCAAGAATCCCATCCTGGTCTCCCACGTTTACTTGAGCCATGATCTGCTCCTCACCAGTGTGTTAGTAGGAAACAATATGGATCTGTAGCAGGATTTGAGCTATGCCGTCTGATGTGGGTTGGGGGTGTCCCCATGGTAGCTTAGCCTTCTGCTGTGATGCGGTGCCAGGGTTCCACCCCTGATTCCAGCTTCCTGCTGATGCAGACCCTTAGGAGACAGCCTGGTAGCTTAAATAATTGGGTTTCTGCCACTTAGTGTGGAAAATGTGAGTTGAACTCCCAGCTGCCCCACTTCTGATACAGCTCACTGCTCATATATGTGGAAAAAGCAGCAGCAGATGGCCCAAATGTTTGGCCCCCTGCCACTTCACACAGGAGACCTGGAAGAAGCTCCAGGCTTTGGCCCGCCCTAACCGTGGACATTGTCGCCACGTGGGAGTAAACCATTAGATGAAAGAACTCTATCTATGTAACTCTGACATTCAAATACACAGATAAGTCTTAATAAATACATTTCTCTTTTTACTGAAAAGCTGGATTATTTGTCCTGCAGACTTTTCCATTTTCTGGATTTTACTCATTTTAAATAGTTAGCAATTTTTGTATAGAAGCAAATTAAGATTCAGATAAGTTAATAGTTAATATATTTGCACTAGATTGCAAAGTAACAACAGGAGTGTTCATTTGTAGAAATAAAATGTATACTTTTATTATGCTCATTACTTTTCTTTTGAGATTTATCCATTGAAAGGTGGTTTGAGAGACGATCAGTCCAAGTTAAGGATTTGCTCTTAATGCAACCTTTGTACCATTATCTTGTTAGGAGAGTTACTTTTCATACCCTTTAATATCCAATAATCAGAATTCTGTTGTTCCTACAGTTATCTTACAAGCTGTCTTATGGTCCTTGTCACGATTTGCACTCAGGATCTTACACTGCTTTTCCACTAAACTGAGAGTTTTAAGAGCTTGGTTGCATTGAGATAGGAATACTTCCTTGCTCGTACTGTATAGTTTATTCAATAATGAAGTGCTTATAAAATTTGATGTGATGTGTATTGTAAGCACCCTTACATTCTTTAAATAACCTAGACATTGAGGTGAATGAAAGATGGTGGTTGAGTTAAAAGAAAGATGTTTGAAGTACTAGTGAATCTTACACTTGTATTAAAATTTAAGATAATCCAGCTCTGGAGAAAAGATTAATTTCATTGTGAACAAATGTTTAGCTTATCTGGAAAGAGGAGAACTGATTGTTATAGTCCCTCACACTGAGCAAGTTACAAAGAGGAGAGTTTGTGTTGGCCATGGCTCTGGTCCTGGTGGAGGTTGCTGCACTGGTGGTGGGCTTGCTGGCAGGTTCTGAGGAAGGAAGGGTGTCCTGTGCTGAGACTGGGCGTGCTCCCCAAGAGACTCAGCCAAACTGGCTATTCCAGGAGACTGCATCTAGATAGGGCATTAACTCAGTAGGGCATTAATCACATGAATGAATTAATCCTTTGTGAGAGTGGAGCTCTAATCATCTCCCAGAGGCCCCACCTGCCACCACTTCTTAGTATTTCACTTTGAGTGTTAAATTTCAGCATGAGTTTCAGAACACACAAACCATATTCAAATGGCACTGGTTAAAATATAAGATTATATTTTTATATTGGATCCAGCTTTAAATGAAAATTAATGCCTTTAACCTACCTTTTATGTTCCATTTTCCAGAACATTGACATAAAAAGAAGTTCTGCAGTAAAGCCCAGTAGTTCCACGTACCATCATCTGTCCACATTTGTGAGTAGAGAGACACACACAAAGCAGGTGATTGACTTGATTCTTTATGCTCTAACCCTATTCTTTCTTTTATTATTATTATATTGAGATATATCTTGCTTCTGTGTATGGTTTTCTCAGATTCCAAAATTCTATTATTTTTTAAAAAGATTTATTTATTTATTTATTTGGAGATTTATTCATTTTTATTACAAAGTCAGATATACAGAAAGGAGGAGAGACAGAGAGGAAGATCATCTGTCCGATGATTCACTCCCCAAGTGACTGCAACGGCTGATGCTATGCTGATCTGGAGCCAGGACCCAGGAACTTTCTCCAGGTCTCCCATGCAAGTACAGGATCCTAAGGCTTTGGGCCGTCCTCGACTGCTTTCCCAGGCCACAAGCAGGGAGCTGGATGGGAAGTGGAACTGCTGGGACTAGAACCAGCACCTATATGGGATCCTGTTGTGTTCAAGGCAAGGACTTTAGCTGCTAAGCCACGCCGCTGAGCCCAAGATTCCAAAATTTTAGACAGTTCTAACCACACTAGGGCAACAGTGATCAAAGTCTTTTAAATATACTTTTAAGGCTTTTTTTAAAATCAGATATAATGGTTTAGTATGAATTAGAGGAAGTAGTTGCCAATAAAATAACTGATTTGAAAACTATTATCATAAAATGATGCATATTTAATTGAAAGTGATAAGGATTTTTTTTTGGGGGGGGGGGCCTGTATCCATATAGGTTACTGCTGGTGGTATTATGTCATTAAACTTTCCCTTATGGTAGTAACTAGAAGACCTACTTTCTCTTCAATTTCTGGACTTCAAGATTAGATGAGTTGTTACAAAGCATTAGGTCAGTCATTATAAAGCAGTTTAATAAAATCATACCTATAAACAATTTTTTGTGTACTGATTTAAGATTCTTTCTGAATATTTTCAGAAACAGATTTATGGTTGCACATCATTTTTATTGTAATATTTTATTTGCTGCTTCATTCCAGCATGGGAACAAAATCTGCTTTATCCCTTGGCTTGAAAATGTGGCACAGCAAGTTAAACTGCTGCCTATGATTCCAACATCCCTTGTGGGGCTGTGGTTCAAATCCCAGCTGCTACACATCCCGACTAGCTCTCTGCTGATGTGCCTGGGAAGGCAATGGAGTATGGTCCAAGTCCCTGTCACCGTGTGTCTCCTGGCTTTGGCCTCCTTGTTACTGCCATTACAGCCATTGGAAGAGTGAAACAGCATGTCTAAACCTCTAATTCTCCCTGTCTCTCTATGACTCCACCTTTCAGATAAATAGAACAAATCTTTGAAAAAATGTGATAAGTAGTGTATCTTGTTTTGTTTTTGAGAGACTTAAAGAGAGAAGGAGAAACAGAGAGGAAAAGATCTTCCATCTGCTGGTTCACTCACCTAAATGGCTGCAGCTGCTGGGACTAAGCTGAGCTGAAGCCAGGAGCTAGGAGCCAGGAGCCTCCTGATTTTCTCATGCATGCAGGGTCCCTAGGCTTTTGCCAAACTCCGCTGCTTTCTCAGATTGTAAGGAGGAAGCAGGATCAGAAGTAGAGCAGCCAGGACAGGAATAAGCGCCCATATGGGATGCCAGTGCTTGAAGATGGAAGATTAGCCTGTTGAGCCACTGTGGTAGCCCCAAGAACAACTGAATTTTTATACTCTGCTTTTATCACATGCACAGTAATTTAGTACCTTGCCTGATTAGAATGATTCATTATAGCAGGCGTTAAAAAAGACTGACTTTTGGCTTATGTATTTGAATATTTTTCTTCAGCATGCTTTCACAAATAAGCTACTCTGACTTTTTTTTCACTTGGCCTTTTTAACAAGTAAGAGATAATGATTTTGAGGTTTTTGGGTCTTTTTATTACTTGGATGAAGTAGTTCCAAATGTCTTATATGTCATAGAGTTTGTCTTTGGCTGAAGAGAAATGATGAACATAATCTCCGAGTCCTCCTTAGGATCAGTAATGCTCTATTGTATTTTGCTTTATTCACTTTCCGTACATACATCCAATGGAAGTACTTCAAATCCCACGATGCCCTTGGGCTTCCTCTTGTCTGTTCCCTTGTGAGGCACAATAGTGTAGCACTTCAGAAAGGTTTCTTTCAGACCATGAATGTTTCCCCAGCCTGATCCACTGTATGATTTGCTATGACACCCAGAAATGCATGCAGAAAATGTGAAACAGAAACAGCTAAAATTATAATTAAGTAACTGTGCTATCAAAATTAAGATTTCTGACCAAATTTCTGACATAAAAGATACAGAAGTCTGTGAGAGCACTTAAGAAATTTGGGGATAATGGAATTAGAAGGTGGGGTTTCTTTATTGTTACAAAAAAATTTTGACATCTGTGCATAATTTTTTGTAATTTGCAATTTTTACCGAGATTTCACAGTTTTTGCACCAAAACAAATTTAACTTTCAGTTGCACTTTCAGTTCCTTTCTGTTCAGTTAATATCACTATTCTCTGTAGTACAGATTATGTAGCTCATTGGAAAGTTTTTCAGAAGCATTTTTATAAAAATTCTTCTTAACTAGGATTCATAGTTTTTGCCAATTTCAGATATATTCATCTTCAACTACTAAAAATGGAATCAACATTTCACCCAGCTTTTAGTTGAACTGATACAAATCTGTAATGCATTCTTTTATTTTTTTAAAGATTTATTTATTTATTTATTGGAAAGTCAAATGTACAGAGAGGAGGAGAGGCAGAGAGGAGGATCTTTGTCCATTGATTCACTCCCCAAGTGGCTGTAACGGCAAGGACTGTGCCGATCCAAAGCCAGGGACCAGGAGTCTCTTCCGGGTCTCCCATGCAGGTGCAGGGTCCCAAGGCCTTGGGCTGTCCTCAAGTGCTTTCCCAGGCTTCAAGCGAGAGCTGAATGGAAAGTGAGACTGCCAGGATTAGAACTGGCGCCCATATGGGATCCTAACACACACAAGACAAGGGTTTTATCCACTGGGCTACTGTGCTAAGCCCTGTAATGCATTCATAATTGGTTTGAAGTTTAATCAGTAAGAATATTAGTTTAGGGTCCCTAATTTCTATCTAGACCGTCAGTTCTTCCTATTTTCTGTGTTTTATTTTGCATTAGTTAAATGAATTTATCGTGAATAAAGATAAATGTTTATTATTCACATTATGTGCTATTTTGTAGTTTTTTCCTCCACTTAATTTACTAAAATTGACGTGCATTTATTTCATAGTCAAGAAATGTGAAGAATTCCTAACCAGTTTTTGTGTTGGAAAGGCATGGCTTAAATGGGATGAAATGTTGCGCTTAAAGGTGGTCTTGTTCAATAGAGATTATAATTTCAGTTTAACAAATCTTTTATTCTACTTAATAGTATTTATATTTCTGTAAATATTTATTGGCTCAAAGGGTGTGTATGTGCGTGTGTTTTCAGTAAAATTGGTCATGTAAAATGAATAGCTTTTCAGACAATTTCAACGTGTAAAATATATAAAAGCTTCTATAGCTGGTTACATCTGAGATGTTTATATTTGAAAGTGAATGCCCAAGTAATGAAGGTGTATATCCAGGTTGTATACTCCCCTTCTGTATCCGTATGTTATGTTTATGAGCGATCATGATAGATTAGACAATGGCACAGTTGTTGGTCATGCTCAAAAATAGGAAGTCAGAAACTTTGTTAAAGTAGGTGTTTTAGCCATAGCAAGGCTAAATCCAAGCAACTAATGTTGGCTAAAAAAACAGAAAATTCACTGTTTCCTGAGTGAGGTTAGATATATCGGATTTTCTAACGACCATCTTTGACTTTACCTTTCCACTCTGTCATGTCAGTGGAATTTCTTTATTTAAAAAGCTGCAGAAATGTATTTGGATGAACGTAGCCTAATGCGATTTGAGATTAACAGTGTGTAAAACTTTATCCTGAACAGTTAGATCCAGTTCAGAGATACATGCTTATAGTTGTGGACATTTAAAAAGACAGCTATATTTAGCATTTAATTTTATAAGTGGGAAACATGATTTTAAAGTTTTTAAAGCTATTTTTGTTTCATACTTTTGGGGAAGAAATGTTACCTAAAATATTTTGATTGATTGCTAGACAGATGCTCATGTGGCTGCTGAGGAAGAAGCTAGAAGATTGGATAAACTACAAGAGCAGGCGGCCCAAGAGAGAAAGGAGCAGTGTGAAAAGGCACACCTACGGGGTTTCCAAGCAATGCAGAAGATCCACTTGGCTCAAGTAAGATTTTAAATGATCTTTGTTGATTGTCATTGAACGATTTGCTAATAGCACTGCAGAACTGATGAGTGTCTAAGCTTAGCATTAGGAAGTTAATGTAGTCTCTGATTGCTAAGATTTCAAGTTCACAGCTTCTTTTCCCCTCCTGCTTCAAGGTCAGGTTATCACTGTTCTAAGGTTTCACTGGCAGGAATTTAGTTAAGCAGCTTAAGCTACTGCTTGCATCACCCAAGTGCCTGTTTGGGTTTAGGGTTCTTCATTTCCAGTCCAGCTTTCTGCTGGCGCACATTCCTGGGAGGCAGAAGATGATGGCTCAAGTGCCACTCCTATGGAAGAGCCAGCTGGAGTTCTAGACTCTTGGCTTCAGCATGACAGAGCCCTTGTTGTGCAGGCATTAGGAATGTGCAACTTCAGATGCAACATCTCTGGTGTCTCCATCTCTCTGCCTTTAAAAATATGAGTAGGCCAAAGAAGTTTAAAACTTTTTGCTTTTTTATCACTTGCCAAATGTTTAATGCAGACTCCTTCCACTTCCACCTTACTGTGTCTTGTGTGAGAACAGTCATCAAAAAGCATGCTAGCTCATTGCAGGGAGGATTTGCTTTTCCCTCTCTGAGCCTTTCTGTCATGCATCCTGTAGTAGCCAGAAACTACTACTTACCAGATGTTCTAACTTGTCTTGTCACTGTTTGCCTCTCCAACTTTTTTGTCCCCCTCATCACTTGCACCCTCCATTCCCTGGCTATAAAGAATATTGTGATGGTCTCTGAATAACCCATGTCTTAAATTCCATACATGGTGCCAAAGTCTTTCCTTCCTTTTACTACTCCTTTTATCTGGCTGAAGCCTCCTGGCCAAGGAATGAAAGGTCTTTTCTTTTTTAATGTATTTATTTTTATTGGAAAGTCAGATATATAGAGAGAAGGAGAGACAGAGAGGAAGATCTTCTGTCTGCTGGTTCACTCCCCAAGTTGCCTCAGTGGTGGGAGCTGAGGTGATATGAAGCCAGGAGCCAGAAGCCTCCTCCGGGTGTCCCATGTGGGTGCAGGGTCCCAAGGCTTTGGGCCACCCTCAACTGCCTTCCCAGGCCACAAGCAGGGAGCTGGATTGGAAGCAGGGCTGCCAGGACACGAACCAATGTCCAAATGGGATCCCAGCGCATGCAAGGCAAGGACTTTAGCCACAGGCTTCTGCACTGGGCCCAAGGTCTTTCTTACCTCTCCTCCCTTGCCTCTACCACCAAAATCTAGATGGACATGAGCCCAGCACAATAGTGTAGCGGTTAAAGTCCTCGCCTGTTGTCTAGCTTGCTAAGCTAATTGTGTTTGCTGGTTTTATATCTAGGCAAGGCTGGATTGGAGGTTGTGTCTCTAACATATAGCATACTATTTCGCATTCAATAAATACTTACTGAGTGGGTAAATAATACTTTTTTGTGGCAGAACAATTTGTGGAGTAGGCAAGGGGATGCTATTCCTCAGTATGTCCCCACTTTCCTATGCAAAGTTCATGACTTGGCTGCTGTCCACTCTCTTTATCTTGAAGAGTCAAGAGAAAGTAATGAAAGAGCTCCAACAGCTACAACAAGAGGACCTGGCACGTAGGAGACAGACGGTAGCACAGATGCCGCCTCAACTAGTTGAGCTTCCATACAAACGCAGTGAAATGAAAGAAGACTGGCAGAGAGAATTGGAATTTGCCTTTGAAGACATGTACAATGCTGACAGGAGTAAGATATTTTCAGTTGACTTCTGACAGTTCTTTTAAATGTTTTGCTCAGAGAAATAGATTTGTCACGATGAAGCAGTTCTTTGAAATGAGTTCTCCATTTTGACAAGGGCCTCAGATTTTAGATTTAGGACTGTGATGATATTTACCATTTTATGATCAAATTATTTTCAACTGTGTTGGAGTGGAAACATGTGTCTATATTTCTTTATAAAGAGGTGAAGGGAAACCTGATTTTACACCTTGAACCAGAGCCTTTGCCTACTGTTACTGATCAGATTCAAGATGAAGAACTGGATCTTTCCGTGGAACAAGAACACGAAGATGAAACTCAGAACCTTCAAGTAACAGAAGCTAAAATGTCTAGTGAACCAGAAGGTAAAAACTCGTTTTGATCTTACTCATCAAAGATAAATACTTATCTAAGCAGGCATTCAGCCAAGTGGTTAAGATGCCTGTGTCCCATGTTGGAGTACTTGGGTTCGAGTCCTAGCTCAACTTCTAACTTTAGATTCCTGTCAGTCTGTTCCCTAGCAGGCAGCAAGTGATGGCTCAAGTACTTGGGTTCCTGTCACCAGTGTGGGAGACCTAGACTGGGTTCTTGACTTCTAGCTTTGGCCTGACCCAGCCCTAGCCATGCAGATACTTGGGTACGGAACTAGTGGGTGGCGGAGATTGCATGCTTCTCCCACTGAGAAATGAATAAATGCATAGATAAGTAAATAAATGCTGTTTTTAAAATGTTAATCATTAGCCAACACAAAAATTTGGTCTATTTTTTTTTTTTTTTTAGATTTATTTATCTTTATTACAAAGTCAGATATACAGAGAGGAGGAGAGACAGAGAGCTCTTCCATCTGATGATTCACTCCCCAAGTGACTGCAATGGCTGATGCTGCACTGATCCAAAGCCAGGAACCAGGAACCTCTCCGGGTCTCCCACACAGGTGCAGGATCCCAAGGCTTTGGGCCATCCTTGACTGCCTTTCCAGGTCACAAGCAGGGAGTGGATGGGAAGTGGAGCTGCCAGGATTAGAACCGGCATCCATATGGGATCCTGGCGCGTTCAAGGCGAGGACTTTAGCCACTAGCCCACGCCACCAGGCCCCAGTCTAGTTTTAAGTATAAATTATTAGGAGTGATTAACAGGAAAGAGTAATATTTCCTTTTTCTGTCAATGCAGATTCTCTTCATATATCTAGGAAGAGGCTGTGTGTATGTGTGTAAGATTTATTTGTCTAACTTGAAAGAATTACAGAGAGAGACAGGATAGACAGATTTTCTATCTGCTGGTTCACTCCCCAGGTGCTGCAGTGGCTAGAGCTGAGATGGTCAGGAGCCAGGAGCTTCTTGCAGGTCTCCTCAGAAGGCAGACTTGATCTTTGTCAGTTGTGCCCTGATTGCTTTCTAAAGTGAAGCTGTGACTGCATTGTTTTGCTTTGGCATAAACTTGGAGAAGCATGATTTCAAGGCTCACATGCTTCTCTTACATGTCCCACTCATTCTGGAGTGTGCAGAATATTGTTCTCTTGGCAAATACAATTGTCTTAAAATTTAGTCCTTTGCTTTCTATTAGCAAGTACCTTTCAGGTATCTGTTTCGTCGGAGTGAAAGTCTGGCTCGATGTAAAGGAGCATTTGGCTCTTCAGCCTTTGATAGTCCCATTTAGGATTGTTGACATGATCTTGCCAGGTCTTTCAGTTTTTCAGAAATAACAAGTTTCTTATTGTTTGTTAAATTTTTATTTTAAAATACTTATAATTTATTATAAATGACTCGTGGTGATTGAAAAAAAGCCAACAAACATGGAGTTAAATGAAAAATGGGCAAAAATCTACAGTCCTGAATTTAGCATTATGAGTATCTGAATCCTTCGAATACTGGTAGCCTCGTTCGGAGTTTTGGCATGAGACCAGCAGCCCTTAAATAAGCCCGTGTTTCTGTTCTTTCATCTGTTGCAGCCTGGAGGACTCTGATGACAGGTAGGAGAAATTTGCCCTTGACAGCAGTAAGGAGAATTTGGGTGCAGCTTGACTTGCTTCTACAGTTACAGTGTTTTCCTCTGTAGCATACCAAGAAATTGAAGATTTAGGGTCATTCCTGAGTGTAGAATAATGAATGTTACATCACACATTTCAGATACTGGTTTTATTCAGAAATAAGTTAGAACATATGAAATCTGTCTTCCTGTACCAAACATAATATATGTCTTACTGTATTCGAGTTTAATTATACGTATTTAAGTTTTTAAGCTTCCAGTTGTACTGCATTGCAAAATAGCTTTATATATACCAATTGATTATGAATTATGTAATTATAAATATTGAGGAAAATAAAGTATCTTTTTTTTTTAACTAGTAGCTATAGTACTAACTGTAAAGATAAAACAATTTGCCTAGTATAAAATAGGTACTTAATGAATTTTTCTCTCTTGTTTTTTTTTTTCTTTTAGTTCCTTTTGCAATGAAAACCAAGCAAGTCTCTTCAAAAATTATTTTTAAAAAATTATTAAATAAAATACGAAACCAAAAATCTCTCTGGACAATTAAATCCTTGTCTGAGGATGAAAGTGAAGTGATCACAACTGTTAATGAAATTGAGAGTAAGGCGTCAACTGCTGCGTCGGGGACCGAGCAGGAACAAGGTAGGCTGTCCATACCTTCATGTGGCATGGTAGAATGTCAATTTAAATTTTTCAAAGAACATTCCCAGACCTGAAAATCGAAGGACGGAGGTCGAAAGGAAGAAACATCATTTTGCTAAGGGCAGCAAACAGTCTTAAAACCTCAGTGAGTTTTGTTGTACACTGCTCTCACTGTAGAGGATTATTCCCATCTGTGTCTAATCCATTATAGATGATGAACCAGAATTAAGTAGTTCTCTGTTGCTGATTCCTCGTGATATTTCTTAGGTTGCAGTGGACATATATGTTTCCCTTATATTTCACCAGAGATCTGGTTTCTGTTTTTGGCAGTTGTAAAGATTTTGGCAGGTGTCAGTAAATAGACTGTTAACTATATTTCTAGAAGTTACAGGTTTGTATCAACACTATCTCCTTGAATTGTATACAAACATGAGAATTGTGAAGATGTGGCTGTTCTTTGATGTGTTTTGCTATCTGTTAGAATTTTATTTTTGGAACTCTTTTGAATTGAGGTTGCATTTGTGTTTGTCTGTATTTCAATTCTGGATTTTAGTGTAAGATAGGAAGCTTCCCTGAAATATACCTTTCACGCGGCTCCATAGTACGTGTCCTCTCTGTTTTCCCACCTTATTTGTTCCTTCTTTGTGATTTTGTTTGTTGTTTATCAGCATTTCCACTAACCAATGCCCTCAAAACTCAATTCTTGAGAGCTTTTTTAAATTATTATTTTATTTTTTATTTTCCATGAAACAATTTGAAGGCATAGAGATTCCTTTTTTTCTTTGTATCAACACTCTTCCCTAATTAACCTAGTGCCATAATTTATTGTCCCTAAACTGATCTCTTCCCAAATGGGTTTTGTAGGCCTTCATCTTTTAAGCACAATTCATTCCACTTATTTCACATCTTGTGTATCTAATAACAATTTATGTTGTTCCAGTTTAAATTCGCTATTTTCTCCCACCCAGTTTCAGCTTTTCTTAACAATCTTTCCACATTTTGATATCTGGTAGTGTTTTTAATTCTCCTGCTCAAGCAAGAATGTTTGGTCATTCTGGTTTCCTTCCCATCAAAATTATCAGTAGATCTAGTTACTCCTACCCTCAGAATCATCCAAGACCCAGCCGTATTTCATCACCTACAGCTCTGGATAAGATTCTTGTAGTGTCCTGCTGTCTTCATTTTATACCTATAATTATCTGATCATCCCCCATCCCCCCAAAAAAAAACTCCCAAAAAACCACAGCATGTGCTTAAACTATTAGTGAACTGTGTGAATGGAGCACACGGACTTGGCACCATCAGCTCCCAAGCTCCTGTCTCACTCGCACGCGTTTCCCTGTCCAGACACTGTGCTGCAGAAGTCAGCATTACTGCTCCTGCTTGGATAGAATTCTCTTGGATGTATCTGTGGCTCAGCCGTCTTTCCTCAGGCCTTTTAAATGACAAGCAATCCACTTTTTACTTTCTTGCTACTTGTCTTAATACCCACCCTGTGCAATGCTTCCATGAGGCAGCAAGGCTGTTCATTATACTTTCCCCACAGAATGAGCTTTGTGCATGAAAGATACTCAGTATTTATTAATTACGTAGTTTAGAGCAGGAGAGAAGTTTCAGAAAGCATACATACATGCTTGAAGCCATAGCCACAGAAGAAATTTTTTATGGGAAACGCTTTAGAGCAAAGATTCCTGGAGAAGGAAAACAGCTAAAGCATATGAAAGAAAAAAAAGAGCCAGAGAAGTAGGGGAGAAGGTGGTATTGAAGTTCCAAAAGTGATGGGTGCATTTGTAGTGAATTCATAGCAAGTTCTTTTGAAAAAGGCTGTGTGGTGCAATGGCCTAGTTAGTGGCTAAGTCCTCACTTGCACATGCAGGGATACCTTATAGACACTGGTTCATGTCCCAGCAGTCCCGCTTCCCATCCAGCTCCCAGCTTGTGGCCTGGGAAAGCAGTCGAGGACGGCCTAAGGCCTTGGGACCCTGCACTTGTGTGGGAGACCCCGAAGAGGCTCCTGGCTTCAGATCAGTATAGCATCGGCCATTGCGCTCACTTGGGGAGTGAATCATCGGACGGAAGATCTTCCTCTCTGTCTCTCCTCCTCTCTGTATATCTGACTTTCCAATAAATAAATATTTTTTTAAAAAATTGTTAATTTAATCATTATTCTAACATTTTAAGTGATATTTGAGATTATTTACATTTCCCTAATGACTAATATACACTAATATGACTTTTTTTATGATTTAATTATTTTTGGGTCTGGCATGGTGGCATAGCAGCTAAAATCCTCTCCTTGAACATGCCAGGATCCCCTATGAGTGCTGGTCCTAACCCCACTGCCATAGCTTCCCATCCAGCTCCCTGCTTGTGGCCTGGGAGAGCAGTCGAGGACGACACAAAGCCTTGCGACCCTGCACCCATGTGGGAGACCTGGAAGAGGCTCCTGGCTCCTGGCTTCAGATAGGCTCAGCTCTGGCTGTTGCAGGCGCTTGCGGAGTGAGTCATTGGAAGATCTTCCTCTCTGTCTCTCCTCTCTGTGTATCTAACTTGACAATGAAAATAAATAAATCTTTTTAAAGATTTATTTATTTTTGTTGGAAAATCAGATCTTTTTAAGATTTATTTATTTTTGTTGGAAAATCAGATACACAAAGAGGAGGAGAGCCAGAAAAGATCTTTGTTTGCCACAATGACCCGAACTGACCTGATCTGAAGCCAGGAACTTCGGGGTCTCCCACGTGGATGCAAGGTCTCAAGGCTTTGGGCCGTCCTTGACTGCTTTTCCAGGCCACAGCAGGGAGCTGGATGGGAAACAGGGCCACCGGGATTAGAACCAGTGCCCATATTGGTTATCAGCACATGCAAGACGATAACTTTAGCCACTAGGCTACTGCACCAGGCCCAGTTCCATATTCTTAACTGGCTGAGTCTTTTTCACCTGGCTTATGCTTAAATACCATTTCATTTTGTTTAAGGTATAATTTATTTTAATTAGAAAGATTTACGGAAAAAAGGAGAGGTGGAAAGATTTTCCATCCACTGGTTCACTCCCCAAGAGGCCACAATGGCAAGAGCTGAGCTGATCCGAAACCAAGAGCCAAAAGCTTCTTCTGGGTCTCCCACACAGGGGCTGGGTCCCAAGGCTTTGTGCCATCCTTGACTGCTTTCCTAGGCCACAAGCAGGTAGTTGGATGGGAAGTGGAGCAGCTGGCACATGAACCAGTGCTGATATGGGATCCTGGCATGTGCAAGGCTAGGATTTTAAGCACTAGGCTATTGTGCTGGACCCAATGCTTAAATATCATTTTTTCTAAGAAATCTCATCTGATTTGCTAGTCTGATATTATCTTTATGATATTATATGCAATCCTTCATTTTTCTGATTTAGAATTTAAACACAGTTTCTGTTTTTGTGTGTTTTTTACTGAGGAATATGTGATTTTTCTGTCCCTCGTATTACCCTATAAAACTCCCTGAGGTCTTTCTCATTCAGTACAGTGTCCTTGACATCTAGCACATCAGTAGATGCCAAGTCAATAAATCGATAAATGCAGTTGATCTGAATGTGCACTGTAGTTATTTTGTTCAGCGTTAAGCTTGATGGTGATGGCATGCTCATCGTGGCAACGATGTCTCTGCAGAGGTCGAAGGTGATAGGGGAACGATTGAGTCGGGGACGCTCACCAGTGAAGATGCTCTGCCTCCATGCCAGAAAGAGCCTGCAGTGGGACAAGGTACTCTCCATCACCAACTGCGAGGAAACTGACGTGACTCTTCACCTGTTTTTCTTTATAAAATTACGTGTGAATGAAATGCCATTATTGTTCTGTCACAATCTGAATAGTTAAGTCTGGTTTTTGATTTCGGGGGATTCTTTCAGAAATAAATGAGACTCTGCCTGCCACAACTGCGGCTCCGAGTTCAGTCCTCCTCCATCCTCAAGAAGCAGCAGCCAGACTTAGAATGTCCGCAAGGCAGAAACAGGTAATGCGGTGTTTAGTTTTTAAAACGTTCATTCACTCAAGAACTATAATTGTTACCAGTGGAAATTTTCATAACCTCTGGTTACTTTTGACCAGAGTATTTTTGTCAAAAATAGGACATTATGATTCAAAAGTATGACTGTGTTATGCAGAGCTGACAAAATGCGTATTGTTGTTATGCTACTCATCTTTTTTGCATTTGCTTTTTTATAGTTATTAAAATTCTGTATAATTATAGCACCTTGTACATAGTAAGTGCACAATAAATATTTGTTGAATGAAAAAATCCTCATTCTAATATTAGACACCAGTGCATATAAATAATCTTAAAATGTTCTTGAAAATATTTGTTATGAAAAAATTGCAGGTGCTGGCACAGTGGCTCAATTGATTAATCCTCCTCCTTCAAGTGCTGGAATCCCATATGTGCCCCAGTTCCTGACCTGGCTGTTGCAGTTCCCATCTGGCTGGTGCCAGTTCCTGACCTGGCTGTTACAGTTCCCATCCAGCTCCCTGCTTATGCCCTGGGAAAATAGCAGATGATGCCCCAAAGCCTTGGGACCCTGCATTGCCTGGGACAAACTCCTGGCTCGTGACTTTGGATTGGTTCAGCTCTGGCTATTGTGGGCATTTGGGAAATGAACCAGTGATTGAAAGATCTCTGTTCTTCATCTCTCCTCTTCTTTCTGTTTCTCCTCTGTAAGTCTGCCTTTCCAATTAAAAATAAAAATACTTAAAAAGTGATGTATCCATTTTAGTGCAAAAATTAAGATTTTTAAAATATTTTCTTCGATTTATTTATTTTTGGTTCAGAGTGGATTTTCAGAGATTGGTTGCCTTGGCCGGAGATAAGCAAATCCAAAGCCAAACTAGGAGCCTCCTCTGGGTTTCCCAAGTAGGTGCAGGGACCGAAGGACTTGAGCCATACAGTAGGCAGGGAGCTGGATTGGCAGTGGAGCAACTGAAACTAAGCCGATGCCCATGAGGGATACTGGTGCTGCACGAAGAGGATTAGACAGTAAGCCACCACACCATACCCCAAAGAAACACTTCTTAATTCTTGTTTTCTGTGGAATTTTTGCAGTCCCCTCACATTAAAAGTACAGTTCTTGAGGTGCCTCAGTATTTAAAACTTTAAATTCAGTGACTCCTGTACATAGAGTAAACAAGCTGATAGTAACTCAAGGGTAGCTGCTCAACAGTAGTTGCCTGATGAGGACTAGGTAAAGAGTCAGTTCAAGAATTTTTCATTTTCAAACAAGGTCATTCTTTATTATGTCTGATGGAAATACTGCTTTTTGCAAAAGTTCACCTGCATTTCTTTTTCTGCTCACTCAGTAAATTTTTCTGTGTATTGGAGATTGTACCAGATGTTTGCTTTGACATGCAACCAGACTGCATAGCCCTTGTCCGCTTAAGTCTTAGCATGTGTCTGTATGGTGTGGAGTGTGTGTGTGTGTGTGTAATATTAGTCTACATCTGGCATCCCTCTGACATTTGACAGGGAAGACACAGCATATTGTTCATTTTACTTAGCTTCTGGATCTCTGTCCTTTGTAAAGTGTATGCGTAGGGAACCAGAGTTGCTCTGGGAGGCCTTGGTACTTGATTCATTTAAGTTTTTTGTGTTGGGCACATTGTATAATTAGAGGTAGAGGCATGGAACATAACGATGTGTCGTTTAGTGCTGTTTGGTGACGGCTTCCCAAGCTTCCACAGAACAGCAGTGTTTGTTCCTTCTGCCTCATTGCAGTCTCACCCTTTTTTCATTTTCCCTTTTTCTAACATTTCACTTCTGTCTACCCATCAGCAGTTACAGTGACATGGATGAAATATGAATTACCAGCACTTACTTCTGATATTATTGATAGTCTTTGGAATAAGACCAATTTACTTTGAAAAGTGATGCATATCATTTTCTTTTGTATAAGTTTGTTAATAGATCAATAGTATTTGTTGAATAGATAATGGAAATAGAAGAGCAGAAGCAAAAGCAGCTGGAATTACTTGAACAAATTGAACAACAGAAGTTAAGATTAGAAATTGACTGCTTCAGGGCTCAGCTGGAAGAAGAAAAAAGGAAAAAAAGTCAGCAGACTCAGGTAAGGTACAGGCGCACTCTTCCTTATAGAAGCCATCAGGAAACAGGAAAAGATGGGCAGTCATAGCATTCAGAAAGACAAGATGTTTTTCCAGTTGTTAGTTGGTTTGTTCCTCCTCATGTATGTTTATAATTAGTTTGTTCTAAGGTACTGACTTCAGTTTCTATAGGGCACTGGTACACATGGCCACGATTTGAATGTATCAGATATACTGAGTTTTTGGACATGGCAGTAAAGGAGAATGATCCATGATTGGTTTGTGTCTTACTAATACAAGCACCAGACTTTTTATAATAAATAAAAAGCAGGTATTTGGTATCTGTAGGCCAGTTGGGATACCATTCTGCTCCTGATGACACATACCATAGGAGGAATCAGTGTCAAGATTGATCTTGGGTTCTAGGCTCCTGATGTTTGCACAGCGCAGCCCTAATTGGGTGTTGCAGGACTCTGGGAAATGAACCACCAGTTGAAAGACCTCTGTCTCTGTCTCTCTGGGTGAATTTCAAATAAAAAGAAGTAAATCTACATGAAAGTTTACATTTGTTAGAATTTCAGCTTATATACATAAATGCTTCAGTACGTGCTTCCACATTTGCCTTTTATTTTGTCTTTTAGGATGGTGCTGCTCCAGTATCATGCACTGTACTTCCTGATGAAGACAGTCATAGGCAGATGATTCGCAATTATCAACATCAGCTTTTACAACAAAATAGGTAGCAGTGTAATTTATGTGTGTAGTGTGTGGCTGCATCGTTAGGATTTCTTACTTCATTTATATGAAGATCTACTTGGAATTCTGCATAAAATGGTGGCAAATAGACTTCTCCAAAATTGCCTTGTGCTTTTTGGGGGGGCAGGTGATGATGGTCACATGGTTGAGATGGACGCACACCCATCTCATGTGTACCATTGATTAGGGTGGGAAGGGTTGAGGAATAGGAGAAGGTGGGTGAGACTGTTTTCAATTTTCTTTTTCTCTGTGCCTGGGGAAAATGAGAAGAGAAGGGGAGGGGGCTGTACCCACATCAGTACCAGCAGGTAGAGAACGGCCACCGATGTCATTCCAAGGTACCTGATGTAGAGCATGTTCCATGGGTACAGGGCAAGTGGCTTCGATGGTTCTGAGATGCTGGTGATTTTGTTGCTCCAACAATGAGGAAATCCTTCTAAGGTCCATTGGTTTACGTAACCCACTGTAGAGTATTCATTCACATAGATATTTGCTGTCAAAACTTGGCCGGGAGAGTTGTGCGATTTGTTCTACCCTTTATCCTCTGCTATGGTACTAGGCATCCTCTGTAGGACTTAATGAGTTATCATGTCCCATCTGAACATCTGGGCATGTGATCCACTGCACCGACTTCAGCAACCAAGGCAGCGTAGTTCTAACACATGCATTCCACAGTCAGACCACAGATCCTGTGGTTTTTCTCTGTGGTTGGAGTTCCGAGTCCAGTGGTTCAGTTGTGAGGGTCCACAAAGAAACTTCGTGAGAGGAGACCCCAGACCTGACTCCTGTGGGTGCCAGCCAGTGCAGTGTCCGACTCAGTCCATCACCCACATCAGCTTACACACTGGTAGTTACAGTTGCTGTGTTAGTGCCGTCTACAGTAGGCAAACCAATGGATACTGCGGTCCTGCCCAATTCTGCCCACCTCATACTCAGCCCTCATATACACCAGCGGGAACTAGTCTAGTTGCAACTACCTCTGTTAGCCCCCACCAGGCCTGCCCATCATACTTTCTTTTCTTCGTGATTATGGCTAACTTCAGATAGCCATTTGTTGAGTTTATAGACACTTGAGAATATGGGGCAAGCTTAAAAGTAATACTTGTTGGGCCCAGCGTGGTGGTGTAGCAGCTAAAGTCCTCACCTTGCATGCGCCAGGATCCCATATGGTCGCCGGTTCTAATACTGACAACTCCGCTTCCCATCCAGCTCCCTGTTGTGACCTGAGAAGGCAGTCAAGGATGGCCCAAAGCCTTGGGACCCTGCACCTGTGTGGGAGACCCTAAGAGGTTCCAGGCTCTTGCCTTCAGATTGGCACAGTTTCAGCCATTGCAGCCACTTGGGGAGTGAATCATTGGATGGAAGATCTTCCTCCCTGTCTCTCCTCCTCCTCTGTGTATCTGACTTTCCAATAAAAAACAAATTTTTTTTAAAGTAATACTTGTTTAATTTTGTATTTGTTTGTTTTGATAGGTTACACAAGCAGTCTATTGAAACAGCCAGGAAGCGATTACTTGAATATCAGTCTGCATTAAAGGGAAGACACTCATCCATGTCAGCCACGTCACTGGTGCCGGATTCTGTTGTATCGGCATCGCCACGGAAATCTAGAAGGCATCCTGCCATCACAGAAAGCTGGGATCACGGTCAGAGACCCAGGTTGAGCCCTAACAAATATCAGCCAACACAGCTTCTACGTAGCTCCAAATCAGAACCTGACCATTTGCAGATGCAAAGGCAAAATCACTTTCAACAGAAACAGGTAGAAACAACAGAAACATTAAGCACTCCAGATGTTCCAGCCACGCGGGCTTTAGAATCACAGGAACTTGGAAGGCAGTTCACACAGACTGAAACACAACAGAGAGACTATGAATATTCTAAGCCAGCTGAGCCTTCCTTGTTCCTGCCGCTGGTTCCTCAGCATTCTTTTAGTTCTTTGCCCATTAAAATTGAATCTGGAAAAATCCATGAACCATTTGCAACCATGAGCAAAAGTACAGCTACAAAAAGCCATTCTATAATCAATCAAATGCAGAGTAGACCTTTGCCGTCCTCAGAGACTATCACAACACACCAGCATCGTCTGAAGTTTCTCCAAGAACAGCTGGACCTACAGAAGGAAGCTCTCCAGGCAAGACAGGAAGCCCAGGAACAGCTGCTCCTGTGCAAACAGAAACAACTGGAAGAACAAATTGGTTTCTCTCTATTTCTTCCATTGGATTCATCTGCTTCACTGCCTTGTGCCAAAGCTGAATCTGGGAGAATTCGGGAATCTTCTGCAGGCAAGGACAATGCTGCACTTTCCTCAGGAGATGCTATGGTTGCACAACCTCAGGATAAGCATTTGAGTTTTTCACAGTCTGTTTTATCACAGCAAGCTAATTTTAAATTTCTTCAAGAAAAGTTGAATATTCAGAGAGATAACCTTCAGGCCAGGCAAGAAGCCCAGGAGTTACTGTATATTCGCAAACAAAGTGAATTGGATGGAAGAGTAGGTTCTGAACAGGCTGAGCAAGCCACTGTCCCAGTTCAGGTCAATCAGCATATTTTTGCCTCACCACCACCTCTTGACACAAAATCTAGAAAAATCCAGGAAGGGGAGCAGTTGTTACCCAAAACTGAAAAAGGACTTCTCTCAAACCAGGATGATATCCGAAAACCTCAAGATGAGTCAAGTTTACTACAGCAGTTCCTTCCTCTTCATGATAGCTTGAGGTTGCTGAAAGAGCAGCTGGTTACACAGAGTGATGCTCTTCAGGCTAGGCATGAAGCTCACATGAAATTGCTTGCAGGTAGACAAAGGGATTTGAGGGACATTAGACCTGTGGGGATGAGCTCTTCATTCTCACCAGTGGTTTTTGAGCATTCTCTCCCTTTTCAAGATCCTGCTAAAGCTGAGACTAGGAGAATTGACATGCCTTATTCATCTCAGAAGGAGCCTGTGAGTCCTAGTCATAGGAGAGTCCCAGCATTCCAGGATAAGTCGTTGAGTTTTCCGCAGCATCGTCTGCCACAGCAAGCTTTGACAGCACTCGAAGAACAGTCACACATACACAAGGTAATACTTGGTGCCGGGGAGGAAACTCAACCTGAACAAAGTGAATTAGAAAAAAGAATTTCTTCTGAACAATCTGGCATGTCTTCATCACTCTCCCAAGTTACTGATTCTGGAAGATTCCAGGAATTTGTGTCATTTAAGAGTAACAGTACAGGTCCATTAAGTCATCCCAAGATCCCAAGATTTCCCGAAAGAGTTCTGGAATTTTCACAACATGTGCTACCTGTACGAGATAATTTGAAAGAACAGCAAGAAAAGGTGGACGCAGAAAAAGCAACCTCTTGTTTTAACCGGAATACCCAAACTGGCTTGCCTTCCTTCATGCCCCGGTTAGGGCATCTTTCATCTGCTTTCCTACCTCCCGCTGAGCTCAGTACAAGCCAGGCATATCTTTCAACAGAAAGTGATACTAAAATTCCTTCAAGCCGGTTTCAGATCCCAGAATTGCAGGATAGGCTTTTGAGAATATCACAGCTTATCCAACCACAACAAGACAATCTGAATGCACTTCAGCAGCAGTTGGCTGCTCAGAGGGAGGCCATTTTCCAGCTCAGAGAGGAGGCTCAGGAAGAACTGCTAACACATAGACCAAACGAGTGGAAGGGAAGACCATCTCCTGAGCACTTTGGCACCTCTTCCTTACCCGAGAAGGCACAGCATTCATTCGCATCATTTCCTCTTTTGGGAACTGAAAGAATTCAAGAAGCTAGTCCAAGCAGCAGTGATTATACGATCTCCTCAAGTCATTCTGAGAGGCAAAGGTTACCTGACAGGCTGTTGGGTTTATCGCATAGTGTTTTGCCTCAGCAAGATGATTTGATTTCACGTCAGGAACATTTGCATGCACAGACAGATTTCCTTTCTTCTATTGAAAAAACCCCAAAAGATCTTATTTTGCCCAAGCAAGATAATTATGAGGGAGAAATGCCTTCTGACCACTTTTTCCAAACTCACCATGATGAGTTGAAGGCACTTCAACAGCAGTTAGATGTACAGAGGGAGGCCATTCGATCTAGACAGGAAGTTCAAGAAGAACTGCTTTTTGAAAGACTGAGTAATTTGGAGAAAAGGGTGTCATCTGAGCAGGTTAGCTCCTCTTCATTCTTACCCTTGCAGGCATTGCCTGTTGCTGATTCTCAGAGAACTCAGAAGTGTTTGCCAACTGAAGGGACTGGTACTCTTCCTTCCAGTCAGCCTGAAATCCCAAGATCACAGCATAGGCTTCTGAGTTTATCACCACCTATGCACCACCAAGGTGAAGTGACAGCACAGGTGTGTTCCAGTGAGACACCCCAAGAAAAATTGCTTTTAAATAGTCAAAGTAAGTTAAACAAAATTGAACCTGTTCATCATTCCATCTCCTCGTGTTTGTTCGAAGAAACAGAGCATTTGTTTATTCCACTACCTTTTGCTGAAGGTAAACCTAAAAGTGTTTGTGAATTGCATTCATCTAAGAATGAACATGCCCCTCCTCCAAGCAATTCTGTAATCTCAAGCCTTCAGGATGGGCATTTGAGTCTTTCACAGCCTGTGTTAGCTCAGCAAGATAACTTGGGTCTTCAGAAGCAGGTGGATTTTGAAAGAGAAGTTCTATGTTACAGCCAGCAGGCCCAACAAGAACTGCTGGTGCAGACACAAACAACCCTACAACAGCAGATCCAGAGGCATCAAGAGATTTTGAAGGATTTCTTTAAAATTAATCAGGTATGTTCTAAACCTGAATATCTAAAAGATACAAGTTCAGAGCCAACTTGATTTTAATCCTAGGCCTACAGGTGTCTAGTTAATGAGACACCTGTAGTGGTTTAACCTTAAGTGCTATAATTTTCAAGCAGTATAGAAATTAAAACAAAAATTTATGTAGCTCACATGAAGTTTATGAGGTTAATAGTTATTTGGATTGAACTAAATTGAAATGGAAAGATGAAAGAATGTAGGCTTTTATTTGGATGTTTGTATGAGTTTTAAACATACCGTAAGATTAAAATTGTGACAAAAATCAGTTATCAGAATTTCAATTTATTTGTAGCAGATCTTGGGCTTTTTATGTGGCACTTCCTGTTGACATTTATGTGCAAGTATAAATCAACTTCACTGTTTTTTTCCCTCAAGTGGTAAGACTATGATTGCCTGTTATGGCACTACCATTATTTATTTACTAGTCATTTGAAGGAAAAGGAATGACAATTGAAAATGTAGGTTCCTTTAGTATAATCATTTGTTGAAAGAAAGGCACGAGAGAAGCTAGATTTTAGGTTCAGCACTATGAATAATTGTACTTTTTTTCAGTGGGAATATAGCCTTGTGAATACTGAAAGTATTTCTCATCTTTTTGTGGTGGATAACATAATACTATGATTGGTGCAACTGTTTGGTTGAGGTTCTAATTTAAGAGTGCAGATAGAAAGAAATGTAATGAATTTACATGGCACCTCAATTTGTACTATCCCCACCCTCCTCTTTCTGCTTTTTCAGACAAGTAATCCCACAATTGAAAATGATGTAAAAATGCAGGAGATGGAACAGCTGAGGGAGTGGCTCCCTCAGACGCGCGAGCAAGCAAGCAGTGAGGAGGGCAGCAGTCGTGCAGAAAGGAGCAGCTCTGATGATGATCTGCTGCTTTCAGAACATCCTGGTGCCAAGCTGAGTGGTAAAGATAGTACTCATTTTAGTATAACTGTTCTGGTGATTATTTGCTTTTATCCTTTGCAGTTTTATTTTTGTGTTTCACTTTTTGTTGACTGACCAGGTAAATTGGGTAGTAGATCCTCAAAGCCACCTGTAGCACAAGTTAAATGTGGATTGGATGTGAAGCAACATGAACTCAGTGCTATTCAAGAAGTAGAATCTCCAGCAAGCGTCAGAACTTCAATGCCAGGTGAACTGATGGCTTGATAAAATACTTTTATGGTCTTCAGTCTTACACAGTTTCGTAGGCTTGCTTTCTTTGCTGTTAAAGGAATTTCAACGTTGTGTTTGTAATAGGAAACTACTGGTTTTATATAAACAGTATTTGAGGTATGATTTTGGAGAAATATGGTTTTATGTAGCTAGTCTCTTCACTTGTGATATCAATCTATCTTTCCAATTTCTGGCTCCCTCTGTTGCTTTTTGATGTCTGCCTTCCAAACTTGTTAGTTTAGGTTGTAAACCCAGTATGATTATTTTTCTTTCTTTGTCTTTTTTTTTTTTCTCTTGTAGTTTTCTGTCTTAGTAGTTTTACTGTTCTTCTCGTGTATCATTTTTAAGATATATACACACACACACGCATGTGCACACACACATATCTGGCTGTTTAACTGTGGATTGTTGGAAGAGGGTCTTGTTTTCATTGAGGATCCTCTGTGTACTAGCTGTAGTTCTTTTTCCTCAAAGAAAGATCACCCACTATCAACCCAGCTACTGGCTTTATGAACCAGGGGCCTGGGAGGATCTGGGTTGAGAGTGCAGACATTCTGAGGATACCCTGATTTCCTTATGGCACATTATCGCCCCTATCATCCTCTGTGCTTGATCCTCGTGAACTCACAGTATGTCACATTCGGTTTCTCCAGCAAGTACACCTTCTGTCTGCTGTGTCCATGGCAGAAGACCAGAAAGTCTAAGCATTCCAAGAATGTAGTTTTAAATATTCTCCCTGTATTTGTGAGCACATATCTTTTTGTGATTTCAATTGCCTTTGGTGATTTTCAGTTGCCTAAGATTAAATATTAAATATATTAAATAGATATTAACATTTTGATATATTACATATGTATATGTTATTATACAAAATATTATATACATAATATATAGTGTATACTATGTAATATTAAAAACACTAAATAGGATTAAATAGATATTAACATTTTGATGTGTTATGCATATTATGTACATATAATGTATAATATGTCTGTTATGTAATATTAAATATATTGAATAGGAATTAGCATATGTATTGTGTATAATCTTTATATATAAACATATTGTATATATTATGACGAAATAGTGTATCTTAGGATACTATTGTTAATGGTTAAGACTGGTGTTTTTTCCTGTGATGAATGAATATTGACATCTGGTGTTACACATAATATCATGCTTGAAACAGTGAGGTTGAATTAACAGTTTAAATGCCTGACTTAAAAGATAAGCAGTAATTATGTTCTCCATATCATATCAAGCGTTTTTTTGTTTGTTTTTTTTTTTTAAGATTTATTTATTTATTTGCTTTACAAAGTCAGATATACAGAGAGGAGGAGAGACAGAAAGGAAGATCTTCCATCAAATGCTTCACTCCCCAAGCACGCGCAACGGCCAGTGCTGCACTGATCACCAGCCAGGAACTTCCTCCAGGTCTCCCACATCGGTGCAGGATCCCAAGGCTTTGGGCCGTCCTTGACTGCTTTTCCAGGCCATAAGTAGGGAGCCAGATGGGAAGTGGAGCAGCCGGGGTTAGAACTGTTGCCCATATGGGAATCCCAGTGTGTTCAAGGCGAGGACTTTAGCTGCTAGACCACACCACTGGGCCCTCTTCATATCAAGTTTTTAAGAGTTTGGATTTTTTGGGCCCGGCACAATGGCACAGTGGTTAAGGTCCTCACCTTGCACGCCCGGGACCCCATATGGGTGCCGGTTCTAATCCCGGCAGCCCCACTTCCCATCCAGCTCCCTGCTTGTGGCCTGGGAAAGCAGTCAAGGATGGCCCAAAGCTTTAGGACCCTGCACCCGCGTGGGAGACCTGGAAGAGTCTCCTGGCTTCAGATTAACTCAGCTCCAGCCATTGAGGCTCACTTGGGGAGTGAATCATCGGAGGAAGATCTTCCTCTCTGTCTCTCCTCTCTGTATATCTGCCTTTCCAATAAAAAATAAAATAAATCTTTAAAAAAAAAAAAAAGAGTTTGGATTTTTACCCTTATTCTAAATGGTCAGTTCAGCTGTATCTGGAAAGTTAAGTGGAAATTTATTAGCAATAGATCCACCTCTGGTAAACCTCATTGGCTATGATACTGCACTGAGCAAAGCTTTAAGTGGAAATCTAAATGAGTTAATTTCTTTTCCTTTCCAGGTAAACCTGATTTCTCTCAGGACAGAGACCCCTTAAGGGTCTCAGTAAGCCGAGAACAAAGTTTCCTCGGGAACCTACTGCCCGGTGATCCACTTGATTATCTTCAAATGGTTGATGACGATGACAAAGCAGGTGAGAAAGAAATTGAAAGTAGAGCTGTTGTTCACAAGGGTATGTGCCTATAAGATGATTACTATTCCAAAAATATTTATTTGCGGTAGTGAAAAAAGGTAAGTAATGTCAGTGACTGTTGATGAAATCATATGCTCCACCCACACTGTGTTCTATGCAGTTGTTCAAAAGAAATGAAGGGGAGACATCTTTACACACATACAAAATTTTTTGGACTCATGATCATCAAAATGTTGGTATTGATTTACCTTTGTTGGAAACTAGGTTTCACTCCTTTTTAAGATATATTTCCTGACCTTGAAAGAGAAAGAGGGAAGGAGAGGTCAGTTTTATATCATTGGTTTCTTCCTGAAATGGCCACCATGACCAGAACTGGGTCAGGCTGAAGCCAGTAGGCAGGAACTATCTGGATCTCCATGTGGGTGGCAGGGATCCAAGTACTTGGACCGTGCTCCACTGCCTTCCCAACCACCTTGGCAGCAGCTGGCTCAAAGTGGAGTGGCTGGGCTTGAACCAGTGCTCAGGTGGGATGCTGGCATTTGTAGGCCACAATGCTAACCTCTCATTTTATGCTTTAAGTGTTCATATATTGAATAAATTTTAATTTGCTTAATGAGAGGCATGTATTATTTCTGTACAGAAAAAATTGAAGGAAGTAAAGTTTATTGAAAAAATGTTTTAGATTAAGAATTTTCTGTCACATTCAGTAAATAGTTTATGAAGGTATGAGTTTTATGTAGGCAGTGCTACAGATTTCAGCTTTTTTTTTTTTTTTATTGGAAAGGCAGATATACAGAGAGGAGAGACAGAGAGGAAGATCTTCCATCTGATGATTCACTCCCTAAGTGAGCGCAACGGCTGATGCTATGCCAATCTGAAGCCAGGAGCCTCTTCCAGGTCTCCCACGTGGGTGCAGGGTCCCAAAAGCCTTGGGCTGTCCTCGACTGCCTTCCCAGGCCACAGGCAGGGAGCTGGAAGGGAAGTGGGGCTGCCAGGATTAGAACCGGCGCCCATATGGGGTCCCGGGCGTGCAAGGTGAGGACCTTAACCACTTGCACCACCGCGCCGGGCCCCAGATTTCATCTTTTAAGCCTATTTGTAACAATCCATATTTTTCCCTTAAAGATTAATTTATTTGAAAGAGAAAGCAGGAAGAGACAGAAACATCTTCCATTCTCTGGTTCAAACACCTGCAACAGCCCAGATTGGTCCAAACAGAAGCAGGAGCTGGGGACTCTACCTGCGTCCCTGCACGTGGGTGGCAGGACTCACGTGTACTTGAACTGTCTTCCACTGCTTTTCCAGGTGTACTAGTGTGGAGTTAAGTTGGAAGTAGAGCAGTCTGGACTTGACCAGGCATACTAACATGAGGTGCCAGTGTCACAATTGATAGCTTAACATGCAGTGCTACTGTGCAAGCCTGAATAATCCACATTTTCAGTGAAATATAGTACCATATTGAGTATTATATTTAAAAGTGCTACATTTAGGGTGTGGGCTAGCAGCTAAAGTCCTCGCCTTGAACACCCTGGGATTCCCATATGGGTGCCGGTTCTAATCCCAGCAGCTCCACTTCCCATCCATCTCCCTGCTTGTTGCCTGGGAAAGCAGTTAAGGATGGCCCAATGCCTTGGGATCCTACACTCGCGTGGGAGACCTGGAGGAAGTTGCTGGCTGGTGATCATCATAGCACTGGCCACTACGCTTACTTGGGGAGTGAATCATTGGATGGAAGATCTTCCTCTCTGTCTTTCCTCCGCTCTATATATCTGAATTTCCAATTTAAAAAAAAAAAAGTGCTACATTTAAGTACTATATTTTAAAAATTCTAGGGGTGGGAGTTGGCTTGTGGTTAGGATGCCCATATTCTAGGCCCGGTGTGATAGCATACTGGCTAAAAGTCCTCACCTTGAACACGCTGGGATCCCATATGGGCACCAGTTCTAATGCCTGCAGCTCCACTTCCCATCCTGTTACCTGCTTGTGGCCTCGGAAAGCAGTGAAGGATGGCTCAAAGCCTTGGGACCCTGCACCCGCGTGGGAGACCCAGAGGAAGCTGCTGGCTCCTGCTTCGGATCGGCTCAGCTCCAGCCATTGTGGCCGCTTGGGGAGTGAACCACCAGATGGGAGATCTTCCTCACTGTCTCTCCTCCTCTCTGTATATCTGCCTTTCCAATAAGAAAATAAATAAATCTTATTAAAAAAATAGGATGCCCATATTCTACATTCATGGTACAGTGTCTGTCTAACATTGTACTCTCTGCTGGTCCTGGGGAACAGTGGTGATGATTCAGGCGATTGGTTTCTCATGAGGAAGACCTGGATTGAGATGCCAGTTCTCGACTACCTCCCATCCTGCCCAGCCCTGACTGTTGGGGGCTTATGGGAGAGAAGTACTGGTTATTAACTTTTTGTTTCTCTGCTACTCAAACAAAACAAAACAAAACAAAAATAGCATTCTAAATGAGCTGCTTTTATGTTTATTTGTGATTATTTACAAAATACTTAACTAGCGAAATCTTTAAATAAATTAATGCTTCACCCAAGGCCTGCCAATGTCAATTTTCTTTTTAATATGTATCTACATGTAACAAACGGCTATGTGGGTAATATTGTTTGCTGACCATACATAACACAGTTTTAGTACTGCTTCATTAATTATAAGGTACCTTTTCAGCCTTTTCAGGTATCACCTCACACCTTGGTTTTGAATTCCAAAATCTTTTTTTTTTTAGTCCAGGTCAAGGAATCTGAGGTCGAAACTCATGCCATATTAAGTTTTGCTATGGAAGAAGAGTATACCTGTCCGAGTCCAACTGTAAAGTCCAATGATAAGGTTAGTAACGTCTTCATAGGAGTCACAGTTTAGAGCTGTTTGGTCCATATTTTCTTTTGTTTAGCTTGCTGAAATATTAATGTTCTCTGAGATCTGCCTATTTTAAGGTGGATCAATGATGAAAATAGCCAAATCTGAGCATCAGAAGACCTTGTAGTCTGACCTGATGCATGATCTCCATAGTTCTGAGAAGCAAAACTACAAAATACCTTGGGGAGATGGGGTATGGTGTGTGTGTGTGTGTGAGAGAGAGAGTGTGTGTGTGTGTGTGTGTGTGTGTGTGTGTGTGAGAGAGAGAGAGACAGAGAGAGTGTGTGTGTGTGTGTGCGCACATGTGAGAAAGCGAGACTATTCTGAGCAATGATGAAATGGTTTTACAACTGACCTTTATAACTATGAAGTTTTCTACACTTGACCTGAGCTCAGAATTGATAACTGCTGAGATTGGTAATATGGGATTTCTCTAGATGTTACTTATACTGTGACATAACAACTCCTTAATTTTTTAGGCTGAAACACAAGAAATTTCTCCTGAGCCAATATCCTCAGGAACCCTTTCTACTGGGAGCTTTTTAAGTTATGAAAACATAGATTTGAGCCTCACAGATTCAGGTAATAGCAGCAGAATGTTCTAGTCAAAAGATTAACAACTTTTGGGGACAGTCGGGGGCAGGAAGCATTGCTTTTTTTCTAATGTATGTGGAATAGGAGGTGTGGGGGTGGTGCTGTTTCTTTAAATCTAAGTTAAATGTAAGTTAGATCTAAGTTATTAGATCTAAGTTAAGGACTGGTGCCCCAAAAAATGAATATTGGACAGTACTATTCAAAACATGACTGTAAGTCACAAAGATGCTCTGCATCCAAAACGGGACTTTGAAAATATTCAATAATAGTACCTTTTCAATATTCAGCAGAAATACATAGGAGCAAATTTCTCAGTTGCACTGTTAGTAAGTACATAGTGGCATGCCTTTCTGCAGAAACAATTCTTTTAAGGAAGTACTTGGCCACAAAAAAGACAGTAATGTCAACTAAATATTTTTATTAAACTCAATTTTCAGAGCACATGGACAATAGGGAACAAGAATCTGGTGCCGGTAAAGAAGAGAAAGCAGGTATTTTCAGCTCTTCCCTCAGTACAGGTTGTCTCTCAGCAACAGAATGCTTCTGGCATTCATAAGTCTCTGAGGCTTGTGATGGAAGACTTTGCATCTGGTCACACACTTTTAATTCTGTTTAATTTCAATATTTTATCTATTTGAGTGACAAAATAGAGCTCTGATAGTTATGGTGGTTCACTTTGTAAATTCCTGCAACAGCTGAGTCTTGAAACCAGGAATCAGGAACCCCACCCAAGCCTCCATTTGGGTGGCAGAGCCCCCAGTACATCATCTTTGCCAGGTACATTAGTAGGAAGCATCATTGAAAGTGGAGGAGTGAAATAGGCTGTATTTCCAGCAGGATCTTCCACCAGATTAAACACCTGCTGTCATTTTAGAAGTTGTTACTATTTAAGGTTCATGTTTTTATAGCCACACAGTTACACCACAGAACATATTGAGAGCATTTAATGAAAGAGGAAACATGGAAGCAATTTGGTTGAATGACATGTAGAAAAAATTAATTAGCAAATACCATTGCAAAGTTAGCTGTCACAACTGAGAGTGTAGTGAATACAGATCAGATGATTCAAGACAGTTTGTTCACCATTGTCAAGTTTATCTTCCAAGAGATAGTTGAGATTATAATATACTCAAAGAATAGCAGACTTTTCTTTTCACTTTAGACATTGATTCTGAAATGATCTAAATGAAAAGACCAAAGCAATGATCACATGGCTTTAATTTTTAAAAAAATTATCTCTTTGGAAGAATCCACCATGGGGGGGGGAGCGGGTTTTGGGGAGGGGAGGGGGGAATCCCAGTGCCTGTAAAACTGTGTCTCATGATGCAATGTAATAAAAATAAATAAATAAATAAATAAATAAAAATAAATTTTAAAAAAAAGTAAAGGGAAAAAAAATTTATCTCTTTTTTTGCTCAAAATTCCAGCAGTTGACCTTGACTTCCCAGAATTGGAACACGTTTTTCCAAATTTGCATCGTCAGCTTTTTAAACCGTTAGAACCACATCCAGATTCTGCTTTGTCACCATCATCCTCTGGGATTTCTGCAGATAATGGAGACTTTTACCAGGTAAAGTAGATATCGCACTGCTGTGGGGGAAAACAACTCTCATCTCCTGTGGAGTAGTCTTTCCTGACCTTGGCTGCCTATCAGACCTAGACAATACCCAGCCCAATGGACTCGGTCTCTGGGAGTGCTCAGCTACTGTCATTTGGTTTTGCTTTTTTCTTTTAAAGCTGCCCAACTGATTCTAACATGGAAGCAAGCTTACCAGCAGTTGCATTTGTGTCTGTCTAAAGAGTTCCCCATTAAAGGTTAGGGAACTCTTATTTTTGTTGGGTGTTGCATGTTTTTTATGCTAACCATTTACTGTATGTAGTAGGTATGCACAGAGGTACAGAATTTAGGAAGTCCTCACCCACAGCAGGGGAGGTGTGTTCTGTGACGCTCATCAGTTCTGGGTGTTTGCTGTGTTGGTCACCTGAACGTCCCAGCTGCTTTACCCAGTTCTGACTTGCCAGAAAATTAGCTCATCATGCTCCTAACACTAGATAATTCACAAATTCTTCAATAAATAATAATATTTATTTAAAAATTTCGGGTATCTCCCTCTGTCTGTGCAAGAGGCACCCACCCCCCTGCTCTCTCAGCGGGTGCTTTCTCCTTTCCTCTGCTTCCCCCATCACCTGGTTCCTTCGCAAATAAAACTCTTCAGTCTGCAAAAACAACAAGAAAATCTGTGTATGTTATTAGAGAAAAGCAGGAGTAAGCAAATTTACTATAATTGTAATATGGTAATTAAGGAAGAATAATATGTAAGGGGCATAGCAATTGTAATTTAACTGCCTTTCCCTGTTTTCTGTCAGATGTTAAATTCTTCCTCTGACATCCGTCGTGCCCCTTCGTCATCCAAAAGGTCAGTGTCTGTCACAGCCCTGAGGAGGAGCAGCTTTCATTCTCTTCCCAGTAGCAGCCTGAACCAGCCGACTGCCGTGGCTCTTCCTGCAGTTCAAACTTTTTCCACAGAGCATATTGGAGGTGAGTATGTCTAAGTTTGAAAAAGTTAAAGCCAGTATTTTTTTTTTTCATAATTCCCTTTAGCTTAGTCCCCGTATTATCCACCCTGTTACCTAGTGTTAAAACTTGTTTTTTCAGGTGTTTATTTAAATATATAAGTAATAAATGCTTAGGTAGTATTCTTTATATTACTCAGTTTAATTTAATGCAATTGTCTTCTGTTCCTCAGCTTGTCTCAACTGTTAGATTTAACAATTTTAAATATCCCTCCAAAAATTTTTTGTGAGGTTAACAGTAAAATACACACATACACATAACACAGAGGATCTTCTTTCATGGAAATACATATTATGAAAAGTTGCATAGATTCATCTTTTTTACTTTCAAATAATGTGAAAATATAATTACATAAATTTATAGTAACATATTTGATCATAATCTAGTTTGAAGCAGTAAGATATCAGTTTTAGCAAAGCTGTATTAAACACATGTATAAAAGACAGACATGAATGAATGTCACTTTGCCAAGAAAAACAAAATGGGTTCTGGCACAGTAGGTCCTTGCCTAGCATGCACAGGAATCCCAAATGATGCTGGCTCTAATCCTGGCAGTGCCACTTCCATCCAGCTCCCTGCTTATGACCTGGGAAAGCAGTTGAAGACAGCCCAAGGCCTTGAGTCCCTGCACCCACATGGGGGACCCGTAGGAGGCTACTGGCTTTGGATCAGCTCAGCTTGAGCCCGTGCAGCCACTTGGGGAATGAATCATCGGATGAAAGATCTTCCTATCTATCTCTCCTCTCTATATATCTGACTTTCCAATAAAAATAAAATCTAAAACAATGGTGTGCATCACAGGCATCCCACATGGGTGCCGATTTGAGTCTCTGCAGCTCTATTTCCCATAGAGCTTCCTGCTTGTAGACTGAGAAGTCAGTAAATGCTGGCTCCATCCTTGGACCCCTGTACACACATGGTTTGAAACCCAGAACTTCAGGGTCCCAGCTCTGGCCATTGTGGCCTTGTGCGGCATGACCTAGAAGATGGAAGCATTCATTCTCTTTCTCTATTTCTCCCTCTCCCTCTTACTGTCTGGACAACTGCCTTTCCAGTAAAAATGAATAAATCCCATACTGGCGCTAGTTTGTGTCCCAGCTGCTCCACTTCCTTCCAGGTCTCTGCCTTGGAACCCTGCACCCGTGTGGGCTACCTGGAAGCTTTGGATTCATGGCTGCAAATTAGCTCAGCTCTGGCCATTGTGGCCAATTAAAATAGAAAAATATTTAAAAATAGAAACAGATCTTTAAAAAAAAAAGAACAGGCATATCAGCTTAGGAGAATTGGATGAAACATGGATACCAGAAAGTAGAGGTGGTCAATTAGACCAGAGGTGGACTGGGCAAAGGCAGAGTTCATAATAACAGAGTGAAGGATGCTGAAGGCATTTTGCTTGTTTACTTTCTGGAACACCAAATAATAATTCTTCTCTTCCGAAAACTGACCAGAGGTGCTTCACCAGAATTCCTCTCCACCATAATTTTTTTGTTCACTCTCATAAAAAACAGTGTTTTAGTGAGCTCATTAGACATCCACCTGACAATCCTTATTTGATTCCTTCTGACATTTTTAGCAATTTTGTAAACATTTTGAAAGGGTTTTTCTAAAGGGCATCATTAACTACCAAGACCCTCGGTTCTTTAAGGCTAGAATGTCTAGGATCATTATTTATAGACATGTGTTTCATTTGATGAAGCTTATTTTGAAATGTGAGGTTTACAGTTTAATATATTGTTTCTAGTTTTCCATGGGTTTTTTAACACCCCTGGTCCATATTATACAGAATCCACTTTGTAGGTACATTCTAGATGGGGAAAAATAGTCGAATTATTATCTTAAATAAGGGAGAAAATATATAGCTGTTTGACAATCACTGTCACCTCCCTTCTTACAATTTTTTTGTATACATGAACATTCACTCCTAAAATTACTTTTTGGAAAAGCAGAGAGAGATCTTACATATACTGGTTTATTTTCCCAATGCCAACAACTGGTAGGATTGGGAAAGACCAGTCAGGAATGGTGGCAGGTACCTAATCTCTTACTTGCTGCCTCCTGCTGCTGGATCAGGAGCAAAACTGAATCCACAGCCTCTGATCAAAGGTTTTGGGTGTCCTAAGTGCTTGCCTGACCTTTGTGTCGATCTAGCCTTGCTCCTAAAATTGTAATACTGTTTCATTTTATGCAGTTTAATCAAGAACTATCTGAATTCATGTTTTAAAACACAATAATTATCTTTTCTTTTATGCAGAACCAGAACAATCTTTTCAACAACTTCTACCTGAATTTTCCTCCCAAGAAGGGAACCAGCATGTTCATCTCCCAAGTATTTTTAGTGTGGAAGGCATAGATAATCAGAACTACCTCTCTGAAGAACAGAGTGAAATACTACAAAATAAGAAGAAAGCTGTTCATTTCCAGCTCTCTGCAGAACGTTTAAGTTCAGTCTGTAGCTCATCTGATGAGGGTAACATGTTTGGTCAGGTGCATGTAAATCATAGCACACCATGTGGTTCAACCTCCAGTGAGTGTTCGATAAAGCAACAATTAGAAGGAAAGGAAGAACTGTCAGAAAGAAGTGTTAAAATGTCACAAAGCCAAGAAATCACTGAAAATGGAAAGAATAAAGCCTATAGGGCTTTTACTGTAAATCCACAAAGAGATTTTGATTCCCAACTATGTGTAACAATGGAGAAAGGACCTTCCGTTCAGATATCCCCTCTGTTAGCCATTCAAAGTGAAAAATGCTTGGAGACCTCAACCACAGCTGAAACTCCAGCTATCTCAGAAACTGAATTATTTTCCTTACAGAGCTCAGTTCCGATCTGGGTAAGTAAACTCGTGGCCATCAGGTATATAGCAATTTTAAGTTTTTATCCTGTTATAATTTTCAGTCAAAATCAAATGAGAATCTCAGCAATGCTACCTATTAACATTGTTACCTGAGCTAATTAAACTCTTGATTGAAAATCTCATGACATGTTACAGCTTTTAGAACCTTAGAAAAGATCCCGAAGTGCAACTACCGATCGGAGCCAGGAAATTCCTCCAGGTTTCCCACGCAGGTGCAGGATTCCAAAGCAGAGAATGTATATGAGCAATGTCCCACATTTGACTACAGTAACACTATTCCTTTCAGACATATGCCTTACAAATCTGTAGTCCCCAGTGCAGCTGCATTTATATTTATATTCGTTTCTTTGCTCTATAAGCATTTATACTCTCAGACAACCAGCATCTTGAACCATCTAGTAGTTGACCGCAGATCTGTGAAGGGAATCTTTCAGGTTAGACAGGTGGCACTAGTGCCACAATGGCTGAAGCTAAACCAATCTAAGTCTTATGTGGGTCTAGGGTCCCAAGGACTTGGGCCATCCTCCACTACCTTCCCAGGCCACAAAAAAGTTGGAGTTGGATAGGAAGTGGAGCTACCAAAACTGAAACAGTGCACGTGCTAAGCGAAGACTTAGCCACTGGGTTCTCAGGAATATGCATTTTTCCCACAATTATGTATACTTGCACAAAAATAATGGACATTATGTACTTTCATCACATTTTTCATGTTTCCCTTTCATTGCCCTGTACAGGAAACAGAATCTGGGCATGGAATAATGGAAGAACCAGAACTTACTTTAATAAGCACCAGTGACATCAGCATTACCGAAACAGATTTTGCCAATTTAACATTAGAAGAAAAAGGAGAAAACGAGGCAAAAACCAGTTTCCAGGTAAACTTAAGAGAAAGCACACCTCTGCTGGAGCCAGGAGCTTCTTTCAGGTCTCCCCTAGGCATGCAGGGTGCCAAAGGTTTGGGACATGCTCTGCCACTTTCCCACACCATACACAGGTTAGCAGGAGTGGAATTAGCAGTTGGGACATGATTTGGTGCATTTACTTCTCAAATGGCTGCAAAGGCTAAATCCATTGGGGGTGGGGGGTGGCAACAACACAAAAGGATTTGCTGTTCTGGAAGAACAGAGCTGGTTCAATTAAGGGTAAAAACCAGACTGTCCTTGCTAAGGCTATTGGGAAGCCTGCAGGTGAGATGATGGAAACCAGGTACCCATCCATCACTCTACTTGCACATGCAGACCTCTGTTGGAAGCAAGGTTGTGTTCAGAGCATGAAAACAGTTACCAGTGATTCATCACAGACCCATGTGAGGGCCTGTGTGGAATGAAGGGCCAATTATGGATCACTTTCTTACAATTTTAGGTGACTGAATTTCTGCCGCTTGGGTCAGAAACACAAACAGATGATCTGCTGGTGTCACAGTGTTCTCCAGACCAGTCAACAACAGCATCTGCAGGTAATGCTTCCAAGTGTGTGAAAGGAATCCAGCAGTGTTAGGGGACTAGTCCATCAGAATTCAGTCTACTTTTTTCCCAATCAGAAACACTGGACACCACACCAGGGAGCTTACAAGAAGCATTTTTAAAAAGAAAAAAATCCTTTATAGAAAGATCCTATCAGAGGCAGAAAGAAATTCGGAACAAGGCTCATGTTCGTAATTCTCAGATAAAGGCAACTAAAGAATCAGCTACAGGTAATTTTTCAGGTTTCAATTAATTTAATACCCTGCAGGTACACATTCATAGTACATCATTTTTTCATTTTTTGACTTTTTTTTAGGTCCATTTGTGAATTGCTTAAAAGGTGTGAACAGAGTATCCATTTCTGAAGATAGGAAGACCGCACAGTCCCTCATGCACCAAAGGGCTTTAAGGTAGCGTTTCTCTTATTGATGATGTACTTCAACAATGCATGTAGTACTTTCTTCAATCATCCTTTTACTGTTTTTAGATTACACAATCAGTTGGCAGAAGTGAGAAAACAAAAGGAAGAGAAAGCAAAGCAAGAAGTTTATGCCAAAAACAGAGCAAGTACAAAAGAATTTCATAAGGTGAGAAGGGCCCTGACCCACCCAGACCATAAAGTATGCAATCACTTAATTACCACATTTAATTTTCATTTTTCCTACAGAAAGTGCTACAGAAACTTCGAGCCAAAAATACATGACTTCCTACAAACCAGTGTAAAGTTTATTTTTATGCTTTGTAATAAGGTATAATTACTTAAAGCTAATAAATTTTTATTTAAGGAGTTCCCCATGTTACAATTCCTTCCAGTGTACATTCTCTTCATTTACTTCCATCTTCAATCTGTGAGGGAGAGAATAAACACCATAAAGACACTACACAAATGTAGATGATGCCTAAATCGTTATATGTATCTCCTCAGGACAACACAGCACTACTAAGCCACTGTGGCATCCTGTAGAGAACATCAATCTTTGGTCACAGCGTTAAGAGCTCTTGGTTTCAGGTTCCACAAGCCCTCTTTGAAATGACCTGTATTTTATCTCACATGTACATACATACCTTTTGAAAACTGTTGCTTCATTCATGGTTTTCTTCAATCCTGTAAGAGAAAAAAAAAAATCAACGATCACCTGGTAGAACAGTAAAATTTGAAACACTTTTTTAAAAAGATCATGCAAAATGTTCCCAGTAGACTGCTTGCTAGCAAGGTAGCAGAAAAAAAGCCCAGTGGGAGATTTTTTATGGTCATGTCCACAGCAAATCAGAAACTGCATTCCAAAAGCCTTGGTAATGACCATTAAATTTGTAGGTAAAACAAGGACAATTTCACTTGCCTTATTTATTACTATTAATCTTCATTTGTCAAAACGCCACCTATGGAAAAATTTGTATTTCAAGACAAATTAAGCTTTTTTAAACCAAATTCTCCACAAGGACGGTTCTTAAATCATTCTAAAATACTTGCATGTGGATGTTCAGAAAGGCTGTTTTCATCAGCCCATTCAGAGCAGTTGAACACTTGGCATATCATCATAACATCACTTTCTAATCAGTGCCCACTAATGTCAATAATAGGAGTATAATCAGCATTGACATAGAAACTGACAAACTCACCCAGAATCTCTGGTAAACAATTTCAAGCAATGTACTCAGGTCCTAGGAAAAACAATTTTGTTTGAGTGCTTTGATTTTTTGGCCAATTTCCTGTGATACAACATTTTATAACATAACTTTAGAGAAATGTTACAGGTCTCATTGTCACCACTGCAATTCAATCACCGTGATGGAAGCAAAACCTGTGTCTCAATATAGCCACATTGACAACTTTGGACACCATAATAAATAGTGCCCATCTCACAGAATGAGGCCCTGTCACAACTTGTTCTCAGATTCTATCAACCATGGGGAAAAAAAAGGTAAAACCAGAAGGGCTTACTTCAGAGACAGTGGGTTCCCCTGATTCTTAAGGTCAAACATCCTAGAAAAAGGAAAAGCATTATTTATTACTGAGGATTACAACAAACTGAACTGTAAATTAAAAAAAGAATAGTAATGTATCAATAGTATTACCAGGTTTCTCATGCACAAAGCCAAGAAAAACCAACGATGCCAGATACTGATTTTCTGTTGCACTGTCCTTTGAACACTTCAGCAGGAATGAACTGCTGCGTGCAGATACCATGCAGTGCAATACTGACCATTTGCTGCTCCAAGTGGGGAGGGGGGTACTACGTTAACAAGTATACTTAATATACAGATAGACATTCATCTGATTTTGATTATAACCTTATTAACATGCTTGAATATTTATCTCGGACTTGCATGGCATTAACACCAGCATGTTTTTTAGTTCCTTTTGTTCATATCAAGCTTACTGCTCAAGTGCCCCTACACCCACATGGAGATTCCCAGGTCTTTGCTACTGCCATGAACAACCCTAAAACACTGGCCCACTTAGGAAGTTAACAAGTGGATAGAACATTTCTTACCCAAGACTCTCAATTACAATTAATAAAACACCTTGCTTAGCTCGCCTAATCAGTTGTTATGCCTATGGAGAAAAAACACCAAATGAAATGTTTAGGACACTTTGTCTTAATAAAAATCATACTCTATATAAACATTAATGGTAATTGAATGTATGATGCCCAAATGCAGCTCTTTCAGAATTAAGTTTTAGTTCATGTCTGTAATCATTCAGCAGTTGAACATAAATTCATCATCTGAACTGTCACAGATCTCCAAAATATCACACCTATTGCCATTTTTAACTTACCTAAGCCGTTACTTGAAAACACCTGTGGAACACTCCCAATACCTAAGGTTAAAAAAAACTGTTGTTAGGCCTTTTATACATGATGGTTGTTTTATATACTCTGGCAATTGTCTTGTAGTTTCTTCCCACAGACCTAAGAAAAAGTCCTGGGAGTAAAGCAGAACCACAGAGTTGCTTTACGAGGCGTTTCCAACGATGAGTGGCTATAGAAAAAGCCCCATCGGGATAGACCTCAAGAAACATCTACAGGTATTCTAGTTAGATAAGTACATCTAGGAATCAACAGAAAAGGCTAACTAGAGGCACATAAAGGCCACATAGTGGCCGCCGCAGTGTAGTGATAAATGCAGAGCAGCTCCAAGCAGCTGTTACTTCATTCCTGCCACTTGAGATATAGACATGGGTTGTATCCCTAGCATCCAGACTTTCAGAATAGTTTCTGAGCACAATGTATACTACTTACTGTATCAACATGATCCAATCTTTTGAACCTTCTACTGCAGATACGTTCAAAAGCCTTAAAAAAAAAAAGCATGTTTTAAAAATGAAAATTTTAATCACAAAACCAATACTTAGTTACTACTCCCAATCACTTTGATAAGAGATGTCCTATTCCTGCTTATATGTATCAAAACTCATACTGATCAATGAGTTCTGGGTTGCAAAAGAGGATTTGTTTTTTGCACCTTATGTCAGTCTTTGTCCATAAATTAAACAAAAACATATACTGGTGCAGTAGTATTTTTCCTGTAACCCTTGACCTTTTCTGCCTTATATCAGCTGTGTAAAGAATCAGCTGTGTAAAGATTATCAAGAGAGCAGCATGCTGAAATGTGAGCATCTCCAGCTTAATGAGAATGAATTAAAGCCTGCACCTGTGGGGGTAGGTGCCAGCATTCCATAAGCTCCACATGTTCTTGGCTACTTGGCTTAATTCAACTGTTAATTTAGTGCTTAGAAAAGCAGCAGATGGCTAAACTCCACGATCCCCTGTAGCCATGTAGGAGTCCCTGATCTGCGCTCAGCCCACCTCCAGTTGTAGCAATTTGGGGAGTGAACCTGCCTTTGAAATAGTCACTAATTATTGTTCAAATTTAATAAATGCCTGTTATTTCAAAAAGGTATTCCAGATTCATTCCTCAAGGTGGGCAGCACAAATCCTTCACCTGTGAAGCCAGCGCCAAGGTGGGCAGGAATTGAGCCCAGCTTCTACACTTTCAATTCAGTGGATGGCCCATCTCTGCCTCTCAGTAACTCCTGACATCCAAATAAAGTCAATCTGAGGGAAAGATTCCTTTGGGCTGGCATTGTGACCTACTGAGTTAAGCTGATGCCTGAAATGCCCGAGTGCCAGTTCAAATCCTGGCTGCTGTTATTTGCCGTGCAGGGGAGGATGGTACATGTGCTTGTGCAATCATCCAAATGAAGTGCTTGCCTTTGGCCTAACCCAGTCCTAGCTGCTGCAACCCTTTAGGATAGCAAACAAATCCTTTACATCATCTTTTTAGGATTTAGATGTATTTCAAAAAATATACACACAAAGCTATGTCATTTTTCAATGCATGTGATACTTATAAATTGTTACTGTGAAATCAGTGAATATTGACAAAAAGAGCAGGATCTTTTATTCATGTGATGACATCTCTCAGCTTTTCCGAAATTGAAGCTTTAACAAGTCCCTTTCACAGTTTCTCAGATGATTTTGGGTTTAAGGATTTCTTCATCAGTAAATTGGCATCTGCATCCACATTCATTTTTAAGAAGACTCAGGTTTCCTGTATGTATTTACCTTCCAGTCATGTTCCCATCTCATTTTCAAGAGGCTCTGCCTTCTGTCCAGGTGTTTTGACTTTCAAGGCTTTCTTCTGAGACAAAACGGCTGCTTTAATGCTATTCTTTTCCGACTTCACCTTTCTCTGCTTTGGGAATTCGGAACTTACTATGAAACAACTACTGTCCTGCATTAAAAAAAAAGCATTTAGCAATAAATAACGATGTCAACTTATAATTAAATATACCAGAAACTTAAGTTACTTTGAACTAAACTGCATCTAGAACTTTAAAATCCAGATCACTATCTGAATATTCAGCTGCAAAGTAACCTAGGGGACACATAGTAGGCTAGGTGCCTAGGACATCTTCCATCCCAAATCTAATCGTGACACTCACGTACTACCTACTACCAGGCAATAGCTTACAACAAGAACCATCTGCCAGGGTTGTAGGAATCCTCCTGTATTCTGTCTGGCTCAAATTTGGTGTAATCTGCCTTCTTTCCCAAGGTAAGGAGCAAAAGAAGGAACCTACCACCAGTTGGACATCACATTCCTCCTGGTCAGCGTGTGCTGCTTTGTCGTCATCCGATCTGCAACAGCAAAGTGTTATCAGGTTAAACAGGTTTTGACAATAATGGCAATACTAGTAAACACAACACAGTATGAATCCTGTGTTAACAACCCAAATGGATCTTTTGGGCAAGTTCAACTATTTGTTTATAACCATATTAATCATTAACGCAAAGTTAGACCAAAATTAACAACTCAACTTACACTGATTCTTCAATGGGAGAAATAGATCCATCGTCATCCAAATATTTGTACCTACGGGTATCAAGATCTTCTTTTTCTAAATCTTCACCAACATCCATTTGTTTCAGAGATTCTTTAAGGTGGTATTCATACTTTAACTTTTCAATGTAATTAAAAAATCCTCTTGCAACCGCTTGCTGTACAATAAACAATTGAAATTAAGGAAATTAAGATCATTGGGAGGGTGACATCATCCTCAGATCGGCGACTTGGCAGCATGTCAGAACTATCCAAACCACTTGGACAGAATCCTTGGTACTCTGGGTGGATGACGTGGAAGTCGTGAATGATTCCCCCTTTCCTCATTTCCCCCAGGATCAACCATGTAATCATAATAATAAGCTTGTGGCCCCGGCTCAATAGCGTGGTAGGCCCCTTGCACGCACCAGGATCCCATATGGGATCCCTGCGGCCCTGCTTTCCATCCAGCTCCCTGCTTGTGACCTGGGAAAGCAGTCAAGGACGGCCCAAATCCTTGCGGCCCTGTACCAATGTGGGAGACCCAGAAGAAGCTCCTGGCTCCTGATTGGCTCCGCTCCAGCTCTTGTGCCAGTTCAGGGAGTAACCATTACACAGAAGTTCTTCTCTGTCCCTCCTTCTGTTCTGTGCATCTGCCTTTTCAATAAGAATATTTTTAAAAATTTATAAAAGTCCATTCATGACTCACAGGCCTGTGCACAAAAAGGCCTTATCACAAACAAATGTACAGCTTTAACTACTATCCATTTGTAGATTAAATATGCTAACTGTAAATTATTAAATTTCAACCAGCGGACCCAAGGACAACTGAAGCATAAATATCAAGTATTTTAATGTAAAGGCTGGCATTCTCATGTTGACCTTACACTTAAAATACTTCTTGAATAAAATCAGAGGTTCTAGTATGAAACAGCATTTATCCACCCATCTGTCAGGATTGAAGATCGTATAGCTAAGCAGCAGTATAGTTCCCAAGTCCCTGAAAAGTGGAGCTCAAAACATTTCGTTGGTGTTAAAAACCCTTACTTTTTAGTTTTCAAGTACTTCTGTAATTCAATACTTTAATACAAGCATGAAAAGCAAGTGTGCATTCCAAGTGAAACCTGAGCTCAGGAACAGGGTGAATACATGATTTCAGGCACAGCTGGTTAAGTTGCCGCCAGGGACCCCTGTAAAGTGCAGTTCTAATCCAATCCACCCTGCCTGTGAGCCAGCTGTGTGGTAGCACCAGGGAAGCATCATGATGGCTGCAGAACTGGTCTCAACCACACTCACGGGGAAGAAATAGACTGGTCAGTTCTTGGCTTCTAGCATTGGCCTGGTTTAGCCCTGGCTATTGTGGTGACAGAACCAGCACGTAATAACTCTTATGTAGGTGTTGTGAATTTTAGGCACAAGACAATGTACTAGTCTATTACTAGTCTATTTTCTCTTATTTATCTAATCGAGTGTGTGTGTGGGGCGGGGGGAGACTTCTATCCACTCCCCAGATGGCCACAATGTCCAGATCCCCTGAAGTCAGGCTCTCCCTGCCTATAGCTTTGGGCAATTTTTCAACTGCTTTTCCAGCTCATTGGCAGGGAACTGGATGCTTAGTGGAACGCCACTGGCACTACTAGCAGCAGACCCTATGTCCAGCAGGCCCAGCAATTCACTTCTGGCATCTTAAGTATGTTTCCAAATATTAAGACCCTACTTACCTCAAAGGTTAATATTTTCCTCCAGGGTAAGGGCTGAGTTCCGTTCTCTAATTCTAAAAAGGAGAATCTAGGTCCTTTGTCTTTAAACTGTTTCTTATCTACTTGTGCTCTAGTGTTTTTCTGTCCTTTTGGTCTTCCTTTTGGTCTGCCTGTTGCCTTGTATTTCCTTTTTCTCCTTTTATGTTTCTTTTTCTTAAATTTTTCAATAAGTGCTTTTAATGTCAGTGGTCTCCCTATTGGTTCTGGAGGCGAGTCACTGGATGAATCTGTTGACTCTACAACTTTAGATGAACGCACTTTTCTGATGGGATTTCTTGGCCTCAATTTAGGTGAAGTAGGAATACACTGAGTTTTAAATACACTGCTTCCAGATGAAGAATCATCACTAAAAAACAAAAGCAAAATCGCCATAAGATAATCTTGTCTATTACCAACACACTATCCAAAACAGACCTCTACGAACATTCTCAGTGCAAGCGCTGAGCACCAGTCAGCCACTGTGCCTGTGACTCTACCACACAGAGTACTGAGTTTTCTCTGTAGATTAGATTAAGTGCTCTACAGTCACATTTTACCCACTGCTGGAGGCAACTATAAAGCCAGGACAACAGCAAGAAAAAAACAGCAAGTTAACTTATAATAAGCCGTTTGCTTTAAGAAATGTATTCCACTAGGCCATATGCGATGGCTCAGGTGGCTAATCTGCTTGCTGGTAGCAACATCCCAAGTGTTGTGGTTTGTGCCTCTGCTCCTTCACTTCCCTTCCAGCTCCGTTTGTGGCCTGGGAAAGCAGAGGATAACTCAAAGCCGTGAGATCCTGCACCCACATGGGAGACCTGGAAGCTCTTGGCTTCTGCCTTCAGACAGGCACAGCTCTGGCTGTTGTGACCATCTGGGGAATGAACCAGTGGACAGAAAATCTGTTCTCTAAATCTGCCTTTCCAATGAGATACATGCTGATGAGAAGTTTTTCCACTGGATAAACCACTTGGGATTTTCACAATTTACTTATACAACACAATGACCAAAAATCCACTTACCTTTGATTTTCATTTTCTATAGTAACATCAGATGTCACGAAGTCAAGTGGATCCATTTCTTTTACTCTTTCAAGTTGTCTGAAATTATCAATTTAACATAACTAGAACATATTTCTCAATTTTTTTATTATCAGATCACAATTATAAACTTGGTAAACCCCATACTTTAATTAAAAGTCTTCCATGTAGTTTTAAAAATCTAGAAATGGCATTTAGTTATTGTCTGTAACTATTCAATTTCAAAAAGGTACTCTTGACCAGCTACAGCACATTCCTCATACTAGCCAGCCATATAGTAATATGAAATTATCATAATATGTGCAATTACAGCCTAAAACGCATTTTCTATTAAAGGGAAACATGTATGTGGTATCTGTACACAGCAAGCCAAAAGAAAAGTGGCCTCCGAGTAACAAAGGCTAATTTTAGCTTCTTATGTGGGATTTTTCACTCATCAACCCATCACATTCTTGGATTCGTAAGCAAACTGATTGGCTTGGCATAATTTTTTGTTGCCAATGAATGCTGAAACTTCAAAACATGTACATTCCAGTGAATTTCCTTCAAAAGGGTACTGTTTATTTCAGTATTCCACCATGTCTCTGCTCATTCTATTTTCTCAGCATGTTATTCTTCAACTTCCTGGACAGCCAATGTTTAATCCCCTACAAAGTCCCAGGATACGCCTGCAAAACGTTTCAAATTATACTAATTGTTAAGCTCAGATTTGTAAAATATCCAATGGACCCATATGGCAATTATATGCAAGTTTTTACTGGTTTCCTTACATGCAAAATTGTAAACACATCGTAAAATATCAACTGCTAAATAAAAACAGGCTCGATGACAGTGCTATACTTCTGAGTCAATCTTTTTTTCTCCATCAAACAGAACGGCATATAACTAGCTCAAAAATATTCTTCAGACTCTGTTTAGAAAGCATTCCTACTCTTGGCATCACTTTCCAATCTGGGATACCGGCGATTTTGGGAACCACGTGGCCAGCCAACGAGCCCAGGCCCTGGAAGCCGCTAACCGTAAACACGGAAAATAGTGTCGGAAGGGGATCCTTTGCTCTGCCCAAGATCCTCTTAGAACACCCTCGGCTTGCACAGAATGCGTTTTACTATGAGCAACTCGGGCCCGAAGGGCTACGCCGGAACTACACGCGCGTTTTTCCAGGCCTCACCACGAGCACGCGGCCCCCGAGGAGGAGCCGGGAGTCCCGCGATGCAGGCTCAGCATCCCTCCGGGGCCAGCGGCTCCAGCAGGGGCGTCAGACTCCAGGGCTCTCGTGAGCAGAGGCTCCGGCTCCCCGTGAGCAGAGTCCGTGCCCCCCGTGAGCCCAGGCTCCGGCCCCCGTGAGCAGAGACTCCGACACCCCGTGAGCAGAGTCCGTGCCCCCCGTGAGCCCAGGCTCCGGCCCCCCGTGAGCAGAGTCCGGGCCCCGTGAGCAGACTCCGACCCCCGTGAGCAGACTCCGACCCCCGTGAGCAGGCTTCGGCTGCGGCCCAGGTCTCCAGCCGATGCCAGCCCCCGCCGTCCACCTTACCTAGGTCGGCAGACTCCCTGCCTCTCCGGCTGCGCGAAAGAAAAGGCCGCCCCAACGACCGGATGCCGGTAATAGTGTAACGGAAGTCTCGCGAGGCTAACGGTCGGAGGGAGGGAGCGGCCGCGGGCCGCCATCTTGGCCCTGCGAGGGGCGGGGCGCTGGCGGGCGGAGTCCCGGTCGCTTTTCTGGTGGGGTGGGACGGCTTGTGGCTTAGGTCAGACTGAGGTGTGGGCTTCCCTGGCCGGCGGGGTAAGTGGGCTGGGCAAATCAAGACGAGCTGAACTGCGCAGAATGGGTGTGAAAACGGCAGTTTGCCTAGCCAGCCTCTGGCTGGAGGGGAAGGCTGTCACGGTGGTGAGGGGTGAGATTGGGAAGCTCTGCCTTCAGCATCTCTCCTGTGGTCACATTTGACCAACACTGCAAGCGTGGACTGCACGCTAGTTTCTCTGCAGCACGCCCACCTGTCACCCACCTTTTCCCCTGGCTGGCTCACCGCTTCTCGGTAGCCTGAGAGCTCTGGGGCCTTCCCCAGCCCCCCACTCCCCGTGACGGAGTTAATATTAAACTCTTGAAAAACGATTTGTTAGAGTTACAGACAGGAGGACAGACTGAGAGAATCTTCCTGGTTCATTTCCCAAGCATGGTGTCAGCCAGGAGCTACCAAGGGGTAGCAGGGGCCCAAGCACTTGGGTCATCTTCCTGCAATTTCCCAGTCCATTAGCACGGAGCTGGATCAGAAATGGAGCAACTGGGACACGAACCTGGCCCATGTGGAAATTATGGTATCCCAGGTGGTAGCTCTACCTGCTATTCCACATTGGTCCCAAGATTACACAAGTTTTAACCGCGCAGACCTGAATGTGATAAAAGCCCTTTTATTTGTGAAAGTTTGAAAGGCATAGTAACAGAAAGACCTAGAGGGCTAGAGGTCAATCTTGTGATTGCTGGCTGGCTCTCCAGTGACCTAAATCGCTGGGCCGGGCCAGGGTGAAGCCAGCAGCTCCAACCTGTTTGCCACAGAAATGGCAGGAACCCAAGTACTCAGGCTATCTTTCCCTGTCGCCCCAGAGACAGTAGCAGGGAGCCGGCTGGAACAAGGGGCACTCTGGGCTGGAACTGGCACTGCTCAGTGAGCTGCTGGCTTGCTAGGCATCAGGGCTTACCCAAGCTGCGCTGCATACCTGTCTAGATCAAGCTGTGTAAACTGGATCTGGGTGGGATTTTTTTTTTTTTTTTTGGCCCAAAAAGTCATTTTTAAAAATGGAATGAATTGGTTTCATTTTTCAGTTTTCACTGTTTTGTGTTGTGATAAACCCATAAAAGTGTTTGGGACCCAGTGCCATGGCTCAGCGGCTGTATCCACTGCTTGAATGTGCCGAGATCCCATATGGACACCCACTCTTTGTCGCAGCTGCTGCAGCTCCCATTCAGCTCCCTGCTTGTGGCCTGGGAAAGCAGAGGGGCGGCTGGTGCAAAGCCTTGGGACCCTGCACCTACATGGGAGACTTGGAAGAAGCCCCTGGTTCCTGATTTCTGATCAGCTCAGTTCTGACTATTGCAACCATTTGGGAAGTGAACCAGAGGTTCTCTGTCCCTTCTTCTCTCTGTAAATCTACCTTCCCAATAAAAATGAATAAGTCTTTAAATAAGTAGACAAATAAGTGAAGTTGTTTGGCCTCAACATGGAAAGTAATCTGGTTTCTTAGCTCCAGAAGGCAGATAATTCCGGATATAAAAGCCTGATGCAGTTCCTGTAAGCTCTAGGATAAGTATCCCATGCCTACATTTCTGCTACATTCAGAAGTAGGCCCAGTCTATGCGACTTGTGAGATTCCACAATGAAAACATAGGGTCCCTTCTTCAAAAAGAAAGAAGTACCACTAAAGGTACTAAAAGTTTTCTGTGCTATCTCTCTCAATGATATTTTAAAAATGAACTTTTAACAGTCTAAGTAAAAATTACTCGCATGAGTTTTCCCTTTCTTCCTACTATTGCACAATTTCAGTTTTAAATGCAAGAACATGTAACTGCCACACGGTATCGCTGAAGTTTCATAGTTTGTATTTCATAGCTTCTACAGCATATGTATTTTCTAGAACAGTGGAGACACCTGTTTTTATTTCCTTTTTTCACTTTGAGAGGCAGAGGAAGAGAGACAGCACCAGCTTTCATCGCCTCTGGGTCACTCACAGATACACCCGCCCCAGCCTGGGCTGGTGAAGTCTCCTCCTTGGGCACCAGGAACCCCATTCCTTGAGCTGGCTCCCCTGAGTCCTAAGGCCTGCACTGGCAGGATGTCAGGAGCAGGGGATGTTAACTGCTTAGATGAAGGCCCCAGGGTTTCTCTCCAGTGCTCTGCACTTGCCTCCCTTTACTTAAACACCGACCTGCTGGAGCCACTCTGGGTTTTATTGAAAGCCACACACTCTAGCTCCCTTACCACAGCACTGATCCATCCCCCTGCTGTTGCGCCACCCTTTGTGCTGTTTGCCTGCCCAAGTTCCACATTTATAAACCAGTTATGCAGGCTATAATCTCTCAGAGTTGGACTTTGTTTCTGCTTTGTAGGGAAATTAAGCAAAAGTAACAGCTGAACTTCTTTTAGTGACAGTCAGGGATCTAAGATTATGTTGTTTTTTTTTTTTTAAAGATTTATTTTTATTTTTTTTATTGGAAAGGCGGATATACAGAGAGGAGAGACAGAGAGGAAGATCTTCCGTCCGATGATTCACTCCCCAAGTGAGCGCAACGGCCGATACTATGCCGATCCGAAGCCAGGAGCCTCTTGCGGGTTTCCCACGCGGGTGCAGGTTCCCAAAGCTTTGGGCTGCCCTCGACTGCTTTCCCAGGCCACAGGCAGGGAGCTGGAAGGGAAGTGGGGCTGCCAGGATTAGAACCGGCGCCCATGTGGGATCCCGGGCGTGCAAGGCGAGGACCTTTAACCACTTGCGCCACCGCGCCACCGCGCCGGGCCCAAGATTATGTTGTTTTATCTTGAGTCTTTACTCTTATTGCAAATAGGAATAAGTTGATTGTTTTTACCATCCTTTTAAGAACGAATATATGTAATCAATGTACAGATTCTGACATATTTGTAAGTGACTAAATACCTGCTAGTTACCTGATAAGGAATGTGAAAAAAGTGAGCATTTGACAAATCTGGGTGAAAAATATAAAATAATTCTTTGTATATAATAACTGGAATTATTTTAAAAGAAAAAGTTAAAATGTCTAATTTCTTAGCAGATACAGATTATTCCATAAAAGTGTGTTGAAGTATGATTATGTAGCATTGAGCCCATTAAGTTACTTATAATGAAAGGATAATGATAGCCAGTGCTTGATAAACAATAAGCCATAAATGTATGTAGTAACTTGTTTGCAGAGAATATATTGTTTAAGAGCATCAATAAAACTAGCAAACTAGTTTCTAAGAAATCTAGAATCCAGGGAAGATGTTTAAAACTTTTTTTTGGAAGACCATCTCAAGTGACTCCCAGGGACCACCTTTGAAGTGCCCAGTAAGCACATTCAAATCTGAGATCTTCAGATTAATGAGATATTCTATTAACAGTTTTAATGAAAAGTTCAACAGTGCCCTTAGGAACAGAAAAGACCTTTAGAGTTTCTGCCCGTGTGCTTTGTTGTGATTGGCCTAGAGTGGGACTGCCTGCCCAACTGTGTTTATTTTCTGCCCTCTTTTTGTTTGCTCCCTCCACTGCTGCAACTCATCACGCGGACACTGGAGGTAAGACGCGAGTCTCTGCGTGCGCCCACTGTAAAGGATACTTACGAATATCAGCGTGCAGTTTGTTAGGCTGTCAGGGTAACTGAACATTAAAGCTGCTTACCAAGAAAGTATGTTTCTTCCTTTGGGAAAATGTGAGTAAAGATGCAAACTTCAGAAGCTGATCATTCTGTAGAGGTTTCCATTCCTGTTAGTAACTTACATTTTCTTTTGTCAAACTGATAATCTAAGAAACTGAGTTTAACTTTAGACTCATGTCAAATACAAAACAAATGTAACAGAAAATAAATGATCTATTAATATAAAAGCTGATATGTGTATTGTTATGTGTATTTATGTGTATATCAGGATACTCCTATAAAATTCATTCTGTGGTTCTGTCTACAACCATTGAGGCATGCAATCATACCTAAAAAGGACCTTTTGTTTCAAAATCTATATTTTTTTAAAAATTTTTTTCGTATTGGAAAGTCAGATATACAGAGAGGAGGAAAGACAGAGAGGAAGATATTTTGTCTGATGATTCACTCCCCAAGTGGCCACAATGGCTAGAGTTGTGCTGATTCAAAGCCAGGAGCCAGGAGCCTTTTCTTGGTCTCCCATGTGGGTGCAGGATCCCAAAACTTTGGGCTGTCTTCGACTGCTTTCCCAGGCCACAAGCAGGGAATAGGATAGGAAGCAGGGCCCTGGACATGAACTGGTGCCCATATGAGATCCCAGCATGTGCAAGGTGAGGACTTTAGCTGCTAGGCTACTGCACTGGGCCCAAAAACCTGTATTTCTTAGACCTACCATTATAAAGGTGCTAGTTCAATCAGATGGATGATGAAAGAAAATTAGTCATGTGCCTTCTCCTAGGCCCGGCGTCTCCTTAGTCAGTCTGTAAGTATCAGTAATAAAGAAGTCACCTGCCCATTTCTCACTTGAAGTATTCCAGGTCGCAAGCTGCCTTGCCTTTTGCTTGAGGCTACCTACACGCCCCTTTGCCCGGCTTATATAACTGAACCCTTTGTATTCGGTTCCAGGGCAGCAGCCGTTCATGCCTGGTGCACTGTGAACTCCTCAGATAACTAGCTGACAACAGTTCTATTTGTACAATCTCACACCCCTAAGAAGAAAGAAAATGGCCTGTGCTGAGTTTCCGTTTCATGTGCCAAGTCTACAGGAGCTGGCTGCAGGTAGAAACAATTTTAACTTTGGATTTTTAGAAATTCTTCCAATATGAAAAGATTAAAAAGATTCTAAGCCATAAATGTACTTCCCTATTTTTCTATGTGTACAGGTGACTTACTGAAATGATGATTGTGGTACAGAGTTTCTCTTTTCAGATTTTGATTTGCATGATTTTTATTGAGAGACCAAAAGTCCTTTCAAAAGAGAAAGAAA